TGTAAACTGTCTGTGGTCATATGTCATACATGTGTCGAGGCAGCAGTAGTGAACCTGACTTGTAACGTTGGTTGTTTGTCTCAGACAGAGATTTAACACTAATCCGTTCTGCTTCTACTACAGTTTCACTATACATGAAAATACATGATATGCACATGCAGATTCCTCCCTATCTCAACAAACCTTTATAATAAACTGTTGTCATGAACAAGCTGCATTTTAATACATTGGTACTAGATCCCAGTTGTCTGCAGTAAACTTATGTCCAAAAGAAATGTAGCTATTGATTCGCAATACATCCAAATAAAAATAGAATGAGATAGACAGTAGTATGATACATTTTGAATGATGCATTTTTTTAAATGAAGTAAAATATAAGATATGTGATAAAATAAAATAAAGTCAGCTGGGATAAACACTTAGTCAAGAGAACAGATATGTTTTTAGTAGTGATTTGAAGAGGAATCTCAATGTGAAACCAAAACTAACAGGATCAATTGCAAACAAGGTAACATGGACATGGACCAGGGTTCAGACCATGAACAACATGGAACAACTAAGTGAAGGAGACAAAGAAAAAAAAAAACACTGATAAGTTGTAAAGACACTGATGGAATAAAAAGAAGGAAAACGTTCAAATGGGACTCGAACATAAGAAAAAAAAGATTTTAATAGTGATCACTACACATACTCTGGTCGTTCAGGTCATCTGTCATAAAGCTTTGAATTATAAATGTGTCTTTCTGCCCTCGTTTGTAGAAGTTTAACCAAATTCATATTTAACCGCTCCCGTCTCACTCCCTCTTCTCTCCATTAGCCTTTTTGTCTAAAGATGACCGCCCACCCCCCCAAAAAAACAGATGGCTCCATCTCTAAATAGAAACACACAGTAGGTCTGCCACACACAATAATCACATGCTTCATCAAGCACCAACATTAGAGCATTTACTTAATTAGAACAGTTGTGTTTTTGGTAGGTTGCCCAAAAAAATCCCACCTGCACTCAGAGACCTTGTCTTTCTCTAAATCCTGCAACAGTGGAATCAAAAGCTCAGTTTGAAATGCAATTTTCTTTCATTTACAAATAAAAAGTCGACAACTTCCAATGAGCTCATACTTTAATACAGTGAATGTTTTGCTTTGGAACAACAGGGGGCCATTCTTAGAGTTAACTCGTGAAACTGGCTGCTAAAACTCCATAAATCTGGGATATTCATTCATTTTCCACAACAATTGCATATGTAATTTTATTAGGAATCTTATTTTGGGCATTTGTTTATGCTCGGTGACATTCTATAGCTGCAACACCATGAAAACCAGAGCAGCCGAGCTGCAAGTGGGACATCCATGTTTGTGGGTTCAAAGAACTGTTACAATCATGTAACACTCTGGATCAGTGGATGGATCCAAGTTTTTTTTTCATTGTTTGATAGGACGCTTTAAAACTTTCCCTTGAGTTTTTGAAGAATAAATCATGAGTCCTGATGAAATCAATCAGGCATGATTAGGGCACTGATACAAGTGTGTAAAATTCAGATCCAAATGAAAATTTGGATCTTGTGAATTTAAACATAGTTTCATGAGGGGTATGTTGGGCCTTGGTGGAATATCAATACTAAAGATATATACAGATACTTTAGTGGACCCATTTTTAATATTTTATTATCAGCTTTAAACATTTGATCTGTTGTTGGTTAGAACTGGTAATCAGTCTTGGTAGCAGTAAATCAGAGCAGAAACCTTATCCTTCTTGTAAGTAGAGAAATAATAGTACATGTGACTTGTCCATATGGATAAACAATCCAAACTTTTACTCTCTATACGTTCACAGCATTCCTCCTCCTCCTCCTCACAGATTGAAAAGAACCTCAGAGAGGGGTCCCTCACTTTGAATATACCACAACGAATGAAGCCACTCTGAAGAGCTGGGAATACTTAGAGAATAATTCTCCAATTGCTCATGGTTCCTCAGAGGGAAGGGTGCACACACACACACCACTCCGCAGTGTGTGACCTATTTTTCCAAACTCATCTGTCAAATGCAGAGCTGCAGCTGGTGGTTCAGAGTTCCCTTCTTTTTGTGAAAGGGCATTTCTTTTGCCTGATTTGGCTCCATTTCTCTCTGTAACAGAAAATCAAAGAAGGAAAACAATAGAAAGAGACAGGGGACATATAGCTGCATGTCTGGAACAGCTAAACTTTTCTTGTTAGGACTGCTGCAGCCAAGTGGTATCAGTCCTCGAGCTGCTGGTTCAGAGCTCCTTCTAAAAACTGAGCTTTAAGCCCTTGGTCCTTAGAGGCAGAGGGAGGCCCCTGGATAAAGGGGAGGGCTGGGACCATGGTTAACCACAGAGTGAAGCACGCCACTCGAGGCCGAGACCAGGCGGCACGACATCACAGGGGTAGAAAATGTTCAGCTTGCACAACTTTGCTGCTTCCCCAGCAGACAGAGCCTGCATGTATGTCCTCGAGGAGAGTCTGGGTGACCAAATTACACCCTCAGCAGCGTGGAAACACCGGCTGTGTCACTGCTGTGGTTTCACCGCTCAGTCGGCAGATCATGGGCGTGCAGTGTTATACTGCCACGGCTCACATATGTGTAAAATACACCCTTAGCCTGTATCTTTTGTGGTTATAACCTGCAGTAACTCACATATAGGAAGCCATTTTCATGTTTCTGCTTGAAGAAGCAAGACAGTTCCTGCTTTGAATGGCGGCTCGACTTGAGTATATCTGTGTGGAGTTTGCATATTTTCCCCATGTCTGTGTGGGCTTTCTCCATCCTTCGGTCCATACTGAAAAATATATCAGGTCACATACACTGAGCATGTGCGTGTTGGTGAACACAGGCATTCCTCGAATAATAGCTTATCTCCTATGCACGTAAACAGTTGCATTATTGTAAAAGTGCACATGTTAGCAAAGGCTCATTTAGAGCTCATTGACATTCTATAGCTGCAACAGCATGAAAACCAGAGCAGCTGAGCTGAAAGTAGGGCATCCATGTTTGTGGGTTCAAAGAACTGTTACATACATGTTACACTCCGGCAAGGAGGTTTTTTTTCCACCCGTTTATTTGATGGTTTGTTTGTTTGTAAGCAGCATTAAATTTCTTCCCATCCAAACTAAAATGCAGCCCTGGGGTTTTCAAACTAAAACAGGGCCAGCAGTCTTTCCGAACTTGTCTGTTTTAGTGCCTCTAAAATGCATCCGTAGTAGAAATTATGCATTACAAAAGAAAACGTAGGAGTGTGGATGTAGCCTTGGTGTGAATGGCTTGTCCCTTTGTGTTGGCCTTATGATTTGTTGACTATTCTGGCTGCACCAACCTTCTGGTTAGTGGATGACCCACTATTCATTCTTGCTGATCAATAAAGCTGGTGTAGTGCTATCATGCAAGATTCCCATTTGTCTCACCTGGGTTTGATTCTCAAGCGGCGCACTTTACTCTCTAAATTCACAGCATTCCTTTCATTCTTTTACCTACCCACCAAATAATGTATTTATTTGGGTGGCTGTGAGGAAAAGGGACAGTGGGTCCTGCTCCAGTCGTGACCCTCGGTAAAATAAGCTGGATAATGGATTAATGGGTGTATGCTCTCAGTGTATTTTCCATTAAGAATGAGCTGACCTAATAAATTCTTTGTACTTTGCATTGGATCCTGTCTTCCTGTGGGATAATGCTCCTTGAAATGAAGGGTTTAAACATTTTCCAAAGAAATCAATGGAACGCTCGTCTTTGTTTTGACAGCATACAGTTTTTTTGTGAAGGAATTCCTTAATATTTCAAGAAACATTGACACCAGGTAAGCACAGAGATGAAACCGCAGCCAGCTGCGCTCTGATCTTAACTTCTTGTCATTAAATTCTTCTGCCTGACTTGACTCAGGCACTGCACCAAGGGAAACCGTTTTTTCATGTGACAAGAGAGCATCTTGGTTTATCAGAGACATTTTAGTTTCTATTTACAGAAAGCTCATTAGTTCAGGAGGTTTCCTTCCTTTTGAGGAATGACAACACTGATCCTGTTTACTGTAATTCTTTCCATCGAGTCGTGTTACCGTTCTAAAGAAGAGGCCTTTTCTCTTTTCCTGGCCCGAGGTATCGATGCTGCTGATGACAGCACTACAAAGAGGAATCAGGTTTCTTCCCTGGGCTCCCACTGGCATGAAGGATCTGCAGTCTGCCAGGTAGTGTCGGGTTCCTCTTGAGGAGAAGTGCTGCTCCCGATACTTGCTCCAAGAAAGGGACTGCATTAGCTTCTCATTAAATCAGTGGGGTCTCACATTGTGTCCACAGTGTAGACACTTATGAGAGGTCATGCACACAGGTCATCTTGTTTGGCCTGGAGCCTCACCGGTCGCTCTTGCTCTCAGCTCGAGGCTCCATGTTGCATTTTTTTCTGTGGTTTTATTTTTCATGTTTCTGTTTCTCATGCTGACATAATTTCTGTAAATATATTCTCTTCAAATGGTCAACATCATACAAACAAAGAATTGTGGCCTTAATTTTCAGGAACAACAGTAACTTAACCAATGGCACTAAAATCTGCCATCTTGACCCTTGATCACTGGTCTTATTACAAGTTTTATATTATGTACTACTGCTTATGTATTATCCTTTAACACCATGTGAGTGGCAGAAAGATACCTACAAAATAAATTATAAATAAAGACATTAAACATTAGTTTATTTATTTCCGCGTGTATAAATTTGGTTGCATTTGTGTTTTCTTTTGTCTTAGTTTTCTTTTTATTATTTTGGATTATTGTTTTCAATTTCTAATTAATTTTATGGTTAAACTGTGAATTATCAAGGCTCTTTCTTGTCATGACATTTGATAACAACATCTTAGGAATCATAAAGCAAATTATTCGAAATATCAAATACTCAGTATTGTAATCTTTTACATTATGCTGCTTTGACACATTATTGAATTATTGTGACAACAGCATAAACAGCTGACTCATCCCATTTTTGCTTGTTGTTTTGATGGACAGAGATCCGTAACCAGCTGGTGGAGCAGTTCAAATGCTTGGAGCAGCAGTCTGAGTCCCGCATCCAGCTGCTGCAGGACCTGCAGGAGTTCTTCCGCCGCAAAGCCGAGATCGAACTGGAATACTCCCGCAGCTTAGAGAAGCTGGCCGAGAGGTTCTCCTCCAAGATCCGCAGCTCCAGAGAACATCAACAGTTCAAGTGAGTGTCCCTCCCTGCAGACGTTGCATTTGAGACGTGTTATTGTAGCATTTTCATATTGGCTGTCCTTAGTGTTATTTACTGTAAATCAGGAGCTCTTTGTTGACTTTAAATGTGTTTTTGTAAAGCCGCTGCCCTTTCACTCAGCACTGTGATCACAGGGATCTGTATGTGAAGTTACTCTATTCTCTCCTAAACACTGTGAGACCCAGCCCTGCTGCTAATCACTGTGCTTTATTGGATTACAGTGAAAGGACTAAGCAACAAAATACACTGTTATGTTTATGTGCTGTGAGGGAATATCTATTATCCCAGTCAGGATTTTTATGACGTCCTGAAAGGTCAGATGGTTCTGGCTTGATAATGAGGATGTATTTCATTAATGAAGTTAAACACTGTAGAGGGGTGGACATAACACATTCAATGCACTCCTGGTGCTGTAATTTAGTGCTTACCACATTGAAGACAGCTTTGAGTGAAGCTGTATGCTTCATTATGTATTAAATTGCACTCATTAGGCACAAATGGGACTTAGCACAGACTCTGCATCAGGCAGAAAAATATGAATTTGGTCTGTATCAGTGTGGATGTTGTTAAAAATTAAAAAGCAAAATATCCAGGATAATGGTTTATTAGCTGAAGCAGAACAGCTGCCTTACAGTGTGTCAACGTGATTGTTGACTCTAAGAACTTTTGTAGTTTAAGAGCTTAAATAAAAAGACACATCACTATATTAAGAACTGTATTTAGCTTTCCTAGTCTTATAAACCACATCCACACAGCACTACTATATATTGAGCCTTTTCCTCATCATACATGGACACTGTAGCTGGGAATCAAACCACCAACCATCTGGTTCATGGATGACCCTTCCTCCCTGCAGCCACCCCTTCTTCTTATAACAAGTTATTCGGTTGGTAGGTGAACACCATGCACTGCCTGGGAATCGAACCCAGGTCACAAGAATGGGAATCTTGCATGATACCACTACACCAGCAGTGCTGTTATTGATCACCCTTCATTCTGTGTAAATGGAATGTACATGCACTGAACTGTGTGTTTGTGTAGCTGTTTTAGTGGGGCTTGCTTGACTCTGGCATCTCAGACTTGGCTGATAGTCGACAGAAGTATGTGCTGCTGCTGTGAAACAGCGGTTTAACCTCTGGACAGTACAGCTGATTTGATCCTCACAGCCAGAACACAGGTGTCAGGAAAAACAGCCTGACCTCAGACACATGTTCTAATAATATTACACTTAACACGAGTGCCAAGATCACAGCAGACTTCACAGCCAAGCCAAAACAGAACACACTCACACACACAAACACACAGGCCATGTACATGCCTGATGTTTTTTGTAGATCTAACTACAGATGTGAACGTAGCTAAGATACATTGGAGATGCATTAAGTCAGATCTGTCAGTCTTATTCAGAGGTGACTGGAGTCGCATGTGGCCAAATTCTTAAATTTTGTAGTGTGTGGACATGACTCAGGTCGGGTCGGATGCCGGACCTGCAGCTGTTCCCGGAGGACTCTAACTTCAGTATGTGGGGCGACTGAAATCTGAACATTTCTAAAAGTCCATAGCGATAAATCACAAGTGTTTCAAACATCTTCGTCTATTTGGTTTGGTTGGAAGACTGTGCCTTTCTTCCCACTTGAATACAGTTCAGTTTATGGGCTTAGAAAAGAAAGACAGTGGTGTTTGACCAATAATAATGGTTAATTTGGATGAAGCCCAACCGTGCACTACGCAACATCATGAACACAGAAAATGGAAAAACATTTTAGACCCTTAACCCTGACAGAGCTCCACGTTTCGTGCACAAATTGAGCTGCTTTTGATGTGATCTGTTATCATTGTATTTCATCAGATGCAAAGAAACTTTTCTTTTCCAGACATCCTTCAACTTGCCCCTGGCTGTCTTCCAGAAGCAGCCCGGTAACTTTCGTCAGTGGTGTAAACTTTATGATTTTGAGGGACAAACGAAAACAGAGCAGAAAAATCGAGCTTTCCCAACGAGAACACGCTTCCATATGTGTTGGATCGCAGATGAGAGTCTGTTGGCTGAACCCTCTCTGTGCAGATTCATTAGCAGGCCAAATGCCACTGTGATTTACAGCTACTGCAGCTACAGCTTCACCGCAGCAAACCCGCCCAAGGATCGTTTTGCTTGTCCACTTTGCTTCATTAGCCACAGCGAGAAGGAAAACGCTGTAGCTTTGCGGAGCTGCTCCACGCTGCAGTTAGTTAGAGCGCCACCTTCTTTCTCTTAGTTGTTCACAGTTCCTCAGAGACGACAGATAACTTGATTTTAATTATGGAGCAGATGTTTCAGGGTATATCGTGAGTGGGATTTATAATGCACGCCATAAAATCAGAGTGGATTGGTATCGTATGTCTGGTCTTACACACATATTCTGATGTACGTAGCACCATTAAAGGCAACTCATGCAATATTGATACGGAGGATAACCTGTCTGGGAGAGATAAGGCAGGGCTTGTAGTGATGTCCGAATTGGTGTGTGTGTGTGTGTGTGTGTGTGTGTGTGTGTGTGTGTAACCTAGTGATTGGCTTGGGTGGAGCTGCGGGAAACATCTTATTCTTCACAGTGCCAGATCTTTTCGTATATGTGTTATTTCATGTTTGAAGCTGCCTCTGCTCATTTCTCAGGGATGTTTCTGTTCGTGTTATGGTCAGAAGCAGGGCAGAGCTTTGAAAATGCTGAAATGGATACTCCTTCTTTTATGAACACACCTCTTTCAGACATGATGAAACAGAGCTTTAGTTATTATTATTATGTATGAAGGAGGATGCATGTCTGCAGTTGTAGGATAGAACCAGATGATAGCACTCAGAGAGCGTGTACCTCCGCCACGGCCCAACAGTCGCCTCATAAAACGTTTAATTGGATATGCACCAAATTGCACACACTCAATATCCCAAGACCCTTAAGAATGACAGATTTTTTTCACATCAAGATCCATGAATTATTCTCTGAGAAATCAATGAAAATGTTTTTATCTTGCAATGTTGAAGAAAGTGAAAAAAATATACCCTGAATCCGTGCCCTGATCCAGATCAGCACCAATATGTTCTTCCTTGGGACATGCTCCACCCCTCCATGAAATTTCATGGTAATGGGCTGAGTAATTTTTGCCTGTTTTTGCAAATAATGGTTGAGTGGTTAATTGAATGGTGAACAGTAAATGGTTAATTGCGGCCTTTGTGCACTGGCACCATATTACAGCTGTAAGCAGATATATTATACTGTTGAGGCATCGTTGCTCTCTGATGGTCTGAGGGGAAAAGGTTAAAAGGTTAAACTACATCTCTCCAGGCTCGGTCTGTTTGAACACACCAGTAAATCCCCTGCTCCTGTCAGATTGACAATACCAGCTGGTGGGAGTCAGCGTGTTGTAACATCAATAGATCATGTGATTTGCAGTTTGTTCTTTAAATCATGTCTCGTCTTCACTCGTGCTGTATTTTGCTCTGCTGCTGTGGCCCATGCGTCTGCGCAGCTGTGCATTATTAAATGTTGGCAGTCTGTTTCCTTGTGAAAAAAGGGAACACTGCTAAATGATATGCAAATCAGTAATGTATCATATTGAAGCCCCGCTTGAAAACGGGGGCAAAGCATATTTGAATGGCAAAGCTGGTGACATGTGCCCACGTGCTCCTTGTCTTTTGAAAACGTTTGGCTCCTTCTCCTTTTCCTTGGCTGTTTCATTGATAAGCAGCAGGCAGGCGGCGTGGAGAGGATTAAAGGCCCTGACAGAGCCGAGTCCGGGTTTGATAAAATAACACACTTCCCTTTGGAAATCCCAGCTCACACACATCACAAGCTCCGGTAGCATTCACTGCAACCATGACTAAACCACGGGTGCTGTTCTATACAATGCTTGCTTGTTCAGGGTGCGCACATTACGGAGACAACCATCAGTTGATTCTACAGTCAAACGATTAGCACAATATTCTCCAACCATACACTGCATCGTTTGTTTCTCCCATTCACATCCTCTGTCCTTGTGTCCCGTCTTCTTCATGCTCCATGCATTCACAGAAAATAGTGCATGACTCTGTCTCACAATGAGACAACGGGGGGAGCAGAAAATTGTTCAAACCATGGAGACAGACACTGCTTTGCAGGATGACACGCATGTAATGGATGCCAGAAAGCTGCACTCCTTTCTCCTCCTCCTCCTCCTCCTCCTCCTCCTCTTCCTTCTCACTCCTCTAGAGACTCTCAGAGCTCATCGTTTGCCTCCTGCATGTTAATGATATCCTGTGTATAAATACAGAGGGCATGAAGCCATCCAAAACCAAGCCTTTTGAAGGCCGCCAGATTAATTGACCTGCAGGCTCTCCAACTGATACTCAGCCTCTTTACAGGAAATCAGCGAGCAGAAGTGGTAATAGAGATGGAGGAAGGAGTTCTGCCGTGCTGTGGGTCTTTGTGATTTGCCCCTGTATTCAAATGGTAGCGTCTCAGTGCAATAAAACAAACTCAGAAGCTACATTTAGCATTTTGTGAAAATACTCGGCTCCCAGAGATGCAGCTTGTACACAGGCCTAATTAGCGACCCTCTGCTCCTAATTCCTGTGAAATGAGGACAGCGGTGAGGGAAGAAGACATCTTATGTCCTTTTGTCTGTTTCTCACTCTGAAGCTTTAGTGTCATCATTAAGAATCTGCACTTGCTTCTGTTATTAATTCTGTTAAATTATTAAAACATTTTAATAAACTCTCTAAGTTAAACTAGTTTTTTCCATTTTTGTGATACAGTGATACAGTGGTGCACTTGCCTCATAGCAAGAAGTTTAAAATCCTGGTTCGGCCAGGATCTTTCTTTGTACAGTTCTCCTCCGAGTACTCAGGCTTCCTCCGACATTGGTGTTAGGTTAAATGGAGACTCTAAGGTGTGAATGTGACTTTGAATGTTTTTTTGTCTCTGTATGTTGACCCTGTGATCCGCTGGCAAACCTGTCCAGGATGTACCCTTCCTCTCACCCAAGCTATATGGGTGGATGGATGGATGGGTGGATGGATGGATGGATATTTCTATGTTAGATTGCCGTGATATTTGTTCAGGCATTCTTAGTACCCAGAGAATGAATATATGCCGAGTTTCGTCATCCCCTGACTTTTCTGTAGTGAGATTAGTGCCACAAGCAAAGTCTTTATTTATCCAGTAAAATGTTGCCATATCTAGTAGTTGTATGCCCCAAACTGTTTGCACAGTTAGATGACACATCCTAACAACTTCAGTAATTCCCTGACATTTCCCACAGTGCCATCATTTGTGGTGTTTGTTGAATGTCCCAACCACTGAGTGGGTTGTTATGAAATACAGTCGGCGTGGCATAGTAAGTAAATAACCTGATACACCAGTCAAATGAAACACTTAATAACCTAAAAGGAAAAATGACTTAAGCAGCAGATTTATCAGTATATTAGGGACCATGGTTCCATAAGTACTTTAATTCGTCCGAGGATGACCGAGGATTTGCCTCTAGAGTACAGTGAACTGTGTTTGGGTGAGAATGATGAGGATAAAAAAGTCTGAAAATTAGAGCCTGGTTGGGTTTAGGGATGTGATGATGCATCTCTGACCACTTTTAGGGATTAGCAGACAGGAGAGGTACTTTCCCCTTAAATCTCTCAACCACAAACCGCAATTATACACCGAAGAGCTGTGTCCCTTGCAGGCGGATAGGTCAGTCAAGTAGAACTGGTACGGAATGAGGGATGGTGAGACAGGAGAAATAGGCCATCCCAGTGGGAGGGGAGGAGAATATGGTCGACATGAGGTCCTCTTTTGTTAACAAAAACCTAAATCCTTCTTTTTCACAGATGGATTCATCTAATTCTGATACAGAAAATTAATCTCCAATTTAATGGTTTCTGTATTTTTCTTGATTGCGAGGCTGAAATGTGGCGTGGACTGATGGCTGGATTTCCTTAGCTCTTTCAAAGTACCATTACATTTCTGTAAATACAAATTAATTGACTCGTCTTCCAGAGAGAAGAAGTGCATCTCAGGACACCGTGCTCAGTCTAACGTTGAAGATATAGTAATAGATGGATAAGTGAAGTTTACTCTGCTTGGTAATCTGTCTTCATCCCTTCTGTGATGTTGTGAAGATGATGATGTTGGTGCTTGTGTCCCGTCAGCCTGATTTAAGTGTATTTAGGGGCGAGTTAAGTGAAGGAATAATGGAGAAAGCACTCTGGAGTAACTTGATATCAACGTCATTAGATGTGATTAGCATTATGGAGGCTTTCTGAGGGAGGAGTTCTTGGATGCTCGTCCCTTTTTTTTCTTCCCCACAGTTAAATCCTATATCCCCCACCCTACTCTCTCTCGCTCTCACTCTCCCTCCTTTGTTCTAATCTCCCTCTCTCTCTCTCTTGTGTTTCTTCCTCGGGGTGGGTAGATTGATTAAAGCTCAGATAGTATCCAGACAAGGGTATGGGTTTGAAGGGATTGTGTGTGTGTGTGTGTGTGTGTCTGTGTATCTGAGCCTTGGTCATTTTGTTTGAAAGCCCCTAAGGCGGAGACAGTTAAAACTGATTATGCAGCAATCAGTGCTCACAACTCTCTGGATCCTTATGGTCACCAGCTTTATACATTTAAACAATTGATCCTTACTAGAGTGTTGCACTGTCAGAGGGTGGAGGAGGAAAGAAAGGAAGTAATTGAGTATATGGGGGGGGGATCCATGGTTACCAGGGGAGTTTCTTCAGCATCACCCATTTACTGTAGGCTGTATAAAGATAGACGACATGATGGCTCCCGAAAAGTGAAGCCAAATCGTTTTGAATACCACCTGGCGGCTAACAACAGTACAAGTCATAAACCCAGCCTCCATGTCAGCAGATGGGACATTGGCCAAATTAAAAAGAATGAAATGTCACAATCCACGGCTAAGACTGCGATTGGTCAAGCTTGTATTGCTGTGGCCTCACTACCAATGCTCCATTACCCAATCGCAGTACTACACAGACTGTGGCTCCAAATGTGCCACATCATGAGAGACATTCTAATAATCATTTACTCCTCCTGCTCTCTATTTATTTTCTTCTTTCAGAAAAGACCAGCACCTGCTGTCCTCAGTAAACAGCTGGTACCTGGTGCTAAACCAGACGAGGCGTGAGAGCCGTGACCATGCCACCCTCAGCGAGATCTACACCAACAACGTCATTGTCCGCTTGGCCCAGATCAGCGAGGATGTCATCCGCCTGTTCAAGAAGGTCAGTTAAACCATCGTCAAAATGTCACAGGAAGATAAATGTTCATTTTGTCAGTTCATTTTTTTATTAATTATTTGATACTATGAAAACATGGTGCAATGATTGAATCACTACTGCTTGACTCTGGCTCGAAATCAGCAAGAAGAAGTTGTCGTCCATCTTTATATTCAGTTTATGGGAGCACTGAGATATATGGGACCATGACCTCTGTCCCAGCACACACTAAATTCATAGAAAAAGAATGAGTTCTGGCTCTGGGTTCGAGTGCCCAAGGTCTAATAGCCTTTTCTATAGTCTGGATCCCTGTCAGCAGAGATGACTGAGGTCTAATCCAAAAACCAGAATCCTGTTTTCACCGTGCAGGCGGAGGTGAGCTCCACTCTGCTTGCAAGGTGCTATTTGGATATTACTGTGTGTGTGTGTGTGTGTGTGTGTGTGTGTGTGTGTGTGTGTGTGTGTGTGTGTGTGTGTGTGTGTGCGCGCGCGTGTGTGTGTGTGTGCGCGCGCGTGTGTGTGTGTGTGTGTGTGTGTGTGTGTGTGTGTGTGTGTGTGTGTTTTGTGTGTGTGTTGTGTGTTGGAAGCAACTAGAACTGAAATGAGAGAATCACTACATCCAACCAATTGAAGCGATTTGGATCAATCACTGGTACATACTATGTGATGAAGGACAAACGTTATTTCTGTTGACACAAACAATTGTATTCACGCTAACAGCTACCACAATGATGACTTATAATAGAAATGTATAATTTTAATGATGTATTAAGGATATTAAGCTGCATATTTCCAAAAAATCACACGTCTGCTCCCGGCAACCTGCCTCCACCACCCCAGCCTCCACCTTTTAGCACCGAGTCCAAACACGGTCACGGTAAACGATATTCATCTTAAACAAAGGCACATTGCCTGCTACACCCAACAGGCGGTTCTGCACATGTTCCCTGTTATGTTAGCAAACTGCTCGGCTGATCCAAGGAACAACCAAAGAATGGAGCCTTCAGCGCCAATCATAACTGTATCAGCATTTGCAACAAATAAGTAAATCAGGACATAGATGTGTTAATTTCATGCTTGTGTTAAAAGGCTGTTCATGGAGATGCACTGGTTCTGTTTAGAGCTGTAACAATGTCCTAAATAATGTGCAGTGGAGTGTGGAACACGTGAATGTACAGAGAGAAGAATTTCCTGTAGTTTATGGTCCATAACTCGCAAAATTAAGTAATTGCAAAGATAATACATGAACAAACTGCAGCGGGTGTAAAAATGCTGCATTTTGTCTTTCATATAGAGGAAATCTTGTTTGCTGGCATTTCTATAAGTGATGCTGTGACCTGCCACAGCTCTTACATCGTGTTGCATCACACTTGTTCACTCGCTGAACCCTCCCTGCACCCCCTGAGCCTCTGCAGTACATGCAGTCTGTCTCACTTCAGAGTCACTGATGCATACAGATGCCATTCACCAGCTGCCGGAGCCCTCTGAGGATTTTCTCCCATTTACCACATTGAGTGCAGAGCTTGTTTGAGTTGGACTCAAAGCCCCCTCTCCAGATAAAAGCAGAAAACAACAAATCCCCTCTGTATCATTCAGGTTCTCTTGTTTTTACGCCTCTGGGAATATTTCTTAATCTATTTTTAAAATACAACTGAGGCAGTAAAACTTTTTTTTATGAGTTTTACACTGTTTGATGATTAGTTTAGTTTCTAACTCACAGGTTTCTTTTGAGCACACTTATTACAGACATTGGGTCATTTGTGTGTTTGTGTGCGTGTGTGTATTGAAGAAGCACTTGCTCTGCCTGTGTACGTCCGGCACAGCCCCTGCTCCGGCAGAATATTATGCCTCTCACAATGATTCAGACATGAAGTGGCCATTGTGCGTTTTGCTGAGTCATTATGTTGCACTGTTTCATATGCACTAGGAGAAATTAGTCAGCACTTGACACTGGTTGAAGATATTTGAAAAAGGAATTGAGCATATACGTTTTAAATGCACATCACACTCCCTTTTTCATGCCGTATCTGAGGTATCACCGTGTTTTAGCGGCACACTGACAGCCCACCGAGCTCAGCTGAATCGCTATAAGCATCAGCTGTTTCACTGTCAACAGATTTTCCTCTCCATCCATCATCTGTAAAGACCATAAGATCTTCCTGGCCACTTGGATTTGTTATGATGTTTTCGTGGTTTCAATCTTATCCCCCAGAAGTCAACTTTGATGTTGCCTACTGTGAGCAGTTTTGTTCTTCCTCCAAGTCAAACTGCGCTGTGTTTCACATCATGTCTCATTGTAGTTTGCAGCCACTAAAGTTTCTTGCATTTCTTGCACATCCATTACAATCCATTACAGTCAAAAGTTCAAAAGGGTTGGTTCCAGGGGGTTGGGGGCCTGTTCTTTTGAAAACTTCACCATCGTTAATGTCTGGTATAGAAGAGTGTTCGGGGCAGGAATAAGAATTACTATTACTATTTTACATCTGTAGAATAAATCTGTAATGTCAAAAATTGAATCTAGGGTTAAAGCAGGCTACACTTGAAAAAATGCTGCGGATAATCCCACCCCTCCAAAAGGCCCTCTCATCAAAGCTACGCTCCCGAAACACATGAAGTGCACTGCCTAACGATTGCTAGAAGCCGACTTTTCCATGACTTGCTCGCTAACTTCATGCTATCGTCTCTGCGTTAGCGATGTACTTTATGTCAATCTGGCTGAAGACTACAGTTATAGACAGAGTGCGTGCAGGCAGGAAGGTCATTTAGTGACAGGATACGCCAGCCAATCATTTTACATGGTCAGAATTTGTCTTGTTTATTACCGTCCTGTGACGACTTTATTTATTAAAGGCTATTTGGACTTTTAGAGCGTTTCAACAAATTAGATAAAAGGAATGGCAGAAAAAAAGAATCAGTCCTACCTTTAAGACAAAATGTTTCAAAGGAAGCCAGACTAAAGCAAACCAGAGTTTTTAAGTACTATTTTGCATTTCCAGGATAAAGTCAACGTTATCATTTTAGGAATGTTTACCAAATAAGAGCATGCCTTTGGCTTCAAAATGCATTTTATTAGTATCACAATCAGTTTTACAGAACATTTGTTGTCTTTTAGCCATAAACACAGCAAGGTATTGGGAAAATATTGTACCGAAAACTGTGTCTATTCAGAAGGAGAAACCAGACTGAGGTGACCACATCAGTCCAAACTGTAATTGTAATAATGGACAAATGCAAAGATATCGTAGTTACACCATTTTCTCTTTTTTAACAAACATGTCATGGAAACATTACTGAGACTAATGTGTGTTCAAACAGAGTGTCATTGCCTTGCTCTGCACTTCCTGTGGGCTTTCTCAAGTTGACTCTCTGCCAACACTTCCTCATGTCACCTTTAACCATTACTTTCCTTTATGTCTTCTGTGCATTATATTCTCAAGTGAGAAGTCTGAATTTGTCCTGCATGTTGAGAGCTTAAGATACACTTAATAACAGTGTTTGACGATTTGAGTCCAAACTTAAATATCGACTAAATCAAATGCACCCAGACCAACCGATATGATGATATGAAATCAATCTGTAGATGTTATTATCTCACCACACTCACTCCGTTGAGTCAGAGGAGGTGTTGCTTTTGTTTTTTTGGAACGTGTCAGACCATCACACTAAGATGCTGGTGCCATTGATGCATTTTCTCACCTTGCAGTCTTCAGACAAACACTTTATTCCTCCTTCCCCCCACACACATAGATGTTATTACCTTCATTCTGTCGGTTACTTCTTCTTCCAATCTTGGTGTGTGTCAGGATTTTGATCACAACACATGCTGTGCACTGTAATAACTGTGGAGACGTCAAGGTGCACGTGATTTTTAAAAAAACAGATTAAACTGGCAGCAGAGAGAACTTATGGCTTAATCAATATTTCCATTTCAAGATGAGAAATAAAAAATGGAAATGGAACTTGTTTTTCCTCTTGATGCCTCATTGATTTTTATTGACATCTGAAGAACACAAACATCGATACGAGGAGTTTATCTCTGTCAGAGGATGTCACACATTCTTGTTATCACCGGACATGTATAAGCACACACTTTTCACACATTTGCAAAGGAAATTGCTCTGAATGTGGTGTTGCTTACAGTTGCATGTCTTAGAAATGTAAAGCGTGTCTGCAAATAGAAAAGTTACCATGGGTTTATCATTATACAGTTGATTTGTAAGACTGACAAAAACTACTAGACTCCACCTCCTATATATTTTCACATATTTCCTCATGAATGGTTTTTCATGTTTGGCAGTGACAAGGAAATGTTATACACAATGGGAAAACAATCCATCCACCTTGTTAATCATATCAGCTTCAAATTGAATGGGTTTCTCTTTTAGTTTTTGCATGATCCTGCTGACATACAGACAAACGGCAATAAAAACCTAAATTTCCTGGCAGACGTAATTAATCTAACTTGTCTTGAAGACAATTTTTAAAACAGGCTCGGCTATGGTATTGTCCCACGGTCCAGTCTGTGTTTGTGAAAGATGAAGTTTATCAGCTATGCTAAAATCTATAGCTCACTGCACATCAAAAATCAAAACTGTTGGATTGAAAATAAAAAAGTCTTCCCTTTTGTGAGAATTTAGTATTTCATTCCTTGAACAAACATGCTGCAAAATTGAGATTCTGACCTGTTTTGTTAGATGAAAAGTCATAAACATGATCTATCCTCTGATGTCCTTGAATGTCTGCACCGCATTCTTTGGCCATTCATCCAAAAGTTGGTGTGATATTGATGTATGACTCCACAAAGCCATAGTGTCAGTATAACTGACAGTGCAATCTTTCCTGTGGGTCACTGCTGACGGCTCGAATGTTATTTGTTTTTTCACTGCTGTTATTTCTTCATGCTGTGTTTCAGAGCAAGGACATTGGGATCCAGATGCACGAGGAGCTGGTGAAAGTGACAAATGAACTCTACACTGTAAGTAATACGCATTGTCTCCTGCAGATCGATCTCTCACACCTTATCTCATCACCGGGCCCATCCGAGATTCTTTTTCCTCTCCGTCTTTCTGACATTGTATTTCATGTTCTTCACTTTCTTGCTGGCTTCTTTGTGACCATGCTGTCTGGTCTTTACCTCCTTGAGTGTGCATCAGATTTGGAGTTTATCAAAGAGACATATTAAACTTTGTCAGCTGAATCATTTTAAGTTGTTTTATTACTTGAAAAGGTTTACATTCCCATCACTTGCTTTATACTGTCTGTTGCTGCAGCTCCAAGACACGGTTTTAGCCCCCCCTCTCAAAGACGCCCAGTCTACTCTGATTGGCCAGCTGGCTCACTCTGGTGCAATTGGTCAACCGCTTCCAGTGTGTGTAGAAATAAACCTATATAACATCAGAGGGAAGAGAAAAAAAAGGAATTACTTGACTCATTTGTTGGCAGTTTCTGTTTTCATGTGGATGTTTTCCTAATCGCAGTTATCAGCCTGTGAAATACCTTCCTGTCTTAACCTGTTCCTTCATTAGATTTTTGTTTGCATAATTATGATAGAGAGTAGCTAAGCAGATTACATAATGTGCATCTTGTTTCGATAACAATATACCGACCACTCATTCATGTAAGGTCACCAGGTCACCACCACTCTGCTTTGTTGGGCACAGTCACTTATACTATAATGGCCATTTTGTCTACTGGCACAATATGTTTAGTTTATCTTTGTTGTGTCGAAGTGGCCTTTTAGTTCATTTAGATTTGTCAATGGTCCACAATGCTCACTTCTTTAAAGAAGAGTTTTTGTATGTATTTCCCAAGAAGCTCCTTTTTATTTATAGTGTGCAGCGCTTGAGCATCTGCTTCACATATGTTTTAATATTAAAAAAGTGGAGGATGGATATATGGATGGATGTAGTCTGTTGCACATATAACTAAATGGGATAGTCCCAAACCCCCCATATAATTAATTTTTCAGTATATTTTTAAATTCTATTTGGATTAAACTGGCAGCTGAGTTTTACAGTCAAAGATCAGTGGTGATGTATCACAAGCCCACATTTCTCAGTTGTATTTTTAAACACTGTGACTTCATATAAGAAATAACCTTACATAAGTTATGATAAATATTTCTGATTAATATCGTTGAAGCAGCAGTTTTTATTGTTCTTAACTTTTTGACCATTTACTGTTGTGTACCATCAGTTGAGCAGTAATTGGTCGTAACTGCAGAACTGATTTGAAACCCTGAAGATGGAGGAAAGTGTGTCGGGGATGAGGACACGCTGTGCTGGTGCTGCACTGAAACTCAAAGATGAGCTGTTATTGTGGGAGGCTTAGTGCCCAGACCTGGATCAGCTCCAGGCAACTTCAGCAATCTTCTGTCCCCCGAGGTGAAACAGAAGAGATGGCAGAGCTGCCTAAATATGACTTATTCATCTTTGCAATGCGATGAGAGTGAAACTACCAAAGGGCAATATTGGCGAGTCTCCCTGATCCGGCCATCTGTACATCTGGATGCTGAAACAGGCAGTGTTATGCCAACATGTGATAATACAAAGTGCATATACAGTATGTTGTTTGCATCAAAATATATTTCAAACAGACTGTGGTATTGGTGAAACATGGTCGTCTTTATCCTGCAGTTATTCTCCCTTTTCAGAAGTTGCAAGATATTTCCAGTCTCAGGGTTTAACTTCCAGAAACAAATTATTATTCTGTACTTTCATTATATATTTCACCCACTCCTTCCTCTGTGACTGTGGATGCATAATAAAACTCAGATGGATCCTCTTCTCACACTCCAGCTGCTGTCTGGCCCAAGATTAAAAATCCAGATGGTGACGTATAGAGAGTCCTTTCTGTTTGGGAGTTGTGAGAAACTTCACCGTGGAAGAAGTATTTCTTTAATAACACACATTTTACATCCTGTTAGTCAATAAAGCACATATTTTTTCACATCATATATTTTTTTTCTCACTCCAGCTACTCATCACATAGTTGATGGGGATTCCCAGAGTTTTGCCTGATTCCTCTTTTTTTCTGACTTTCAGATTTTTTCTTCCTTTATTGTTTATGATGTCAGTGAAGGGCTGAAGTTTATATATTTTATTATTTGTTCTAAAGTTTTTCGTAATGCAAAGCAAAGCGTCTCTCTTGCGTGTTGTTTTTCCTCTTATATCTTTGCATGATGTATCCAAATCTTCCAGGCTGGCAAAGAATGCACAATGGAGGAAAATCTGAAACTTTGTGTTGGAGTGCATCATAGTTCCCATTGTTCTGTCCAAATGTGTCAGAGCCCAAGAGAAAACTAATCGAGGCCAACCTGAACCTGACAGGTCTTCCGTCATTGACATGCATGGTTATCTCTTGTTTTCCCTGATTACAGACTGCAGTGTTAAAATTCAGACAAACCAACATTACAGACCCCACTTGAATGTCATTAAAATTATTTGGTCCGAAACTGACCCAGCCCGTTGGGTCCTGACAGATTAGGGTCTATTACCAGTGTCTCGGTTCCCCAAATTATATGACGCAAGCTTACATGACAGCTACACATTTTACAACACATTGTGAGTCAAGTGTGCATGTCAGGTGGTCAGGTAGCTCTTATAGGTTGGAAAAAGGGCCTTCAGGCAGCAGGAGCTCATGGCGTCGAATTGTTTTTAATTACTGCTCCCTTGTGAGTAGTTGATTGTGCAGAAATAGACACATCAGTAGCATGTGGCCTCATGGCGGTTTCCTTCTGGTATTTTCTAACAGTTTTCACTGGCTGCCAACTAAACAATTTTTGCAAAGAGAAAAGTGTGAAATCCCATTTGGATGCCTGGCTGCTCAGTGAGAGGTAAAAGGGATAAAAGTAAGACTGTGAGCTGAAGCTACCATTTAAATATTACTTTAAGTCTGATGCTTCTGCTGCAGCAGCCGTGGTATTAGTAAGAGTGAACGTCCTCCTGTCTGTGGCTTTGTCAGTAGCAATGAGTCCGAATTTAGAAATGAGAGCAGAGGCCTGAATGTCTGAACAGCCAGTCACTTCCTCATGTTTCCAGCATCTCGACTCTGTGAAATTCAGTTTTTCTTTGCTTTAATCTGTGTTCATTTCCTGCTACATCGATTTAATATCCCCACTGGGATCAATAAAGCTTTTGCTTATCTTATCTTTGTGATCAGCCACCTTGAGTCTGTTTACTGAGCTTCAGCGTCATACACGCTTCTTCTTTTGTTATTACCTGGTTGACAACTATACAACACTGATTCTGAGACTCTCAGACGAGGGTGGTGCTGGTGTGGCTTACATTCATTCATCCATCTGGTGTGCTTATGTTTTACATGAAAAGAAACTGCAGCATTTCTGAGCTTCTAGTCATTTAGGAATAATCTCAGCATCAATTAATTATGCACAGGCATGATCTGGTGTTGAAGAAAGCATGCTGTTATTGTTTTTGTGTATATATATATATATACTGTATATACAAGAGATCAGAGAGAATGATTTTAAGAGAGGAGGAATGGCAAAGGTAGCCCTGATAATATATCGATTCATATTGAATATCTACTTCTGTCCTTGAATTCATTATGAATTGAAATTCATTATCAGAATCTCCAGCTGTTCTCTCCCTGGTTGTTTTTTTTTCACCAGCGTAGAAACTCTGCTCAGGAGTTAAATAACCCGGGGCTGTCGTCAGAGGACTCAACAATACACACACCTCCTGTAGACACAGCTGAAGCTCAGTGTTCCTGCATGTTAGTGTGGGTCCTTAGCTGCAGCTCCTGTCGTCAGATGGTTCGAAGATGGAAGAAAAAGAGAGAGAAAGAGAAATCTATCTCATGGTTTTTATTTTAGATGTTTGAAGGCCCGGGGTACGAACACCCTGTGTTAGCCTAGTTTCCCTCTTTGTGGAGTTCCCACACTGACATCAGCTTTGTCACTCGTGTCTTTTATCATTCTATTCACTTCTCAGGTGTTTGCCTGAGAGCTTTTTGTCACACTGCGGTCCTGGTTGTTCCTTCACTGCCTGGAGAGGAGAGCTATTTATCCAAGCACAGAGCTGGGAGTAAATAGAGCCTCTTAGTAAATATTCCAATCACAAGGTTTGAGGTCAGTGGGAAATTACAGATGTGAGTGACCCAGTGGCAAATGTGATTTTTGATGAGTAGCTCTGGTAGTCATAAAAGGAACCCTGCTGCCTAAGTGAGCATTACTTACTTTATCACAGGAAACAAATAAACAGCTGTTTGTATAACTGTCCGACATCCTGAGGTGTTGGTAGAAAAATCTGAACACTGGTTTGACGTTTGAAGAGGCAGCTCACATCTGGACTTTGCTTTACGAGGCCGAGGAAGGAGCTTTAAGCAGTGAGGCTGTATGAGCATCTGGCACAAGTTAAGAAAGAAGCAGGATGCTCATGTCTGGTATTACAGGGGATTTCTGTCACTACTGTCTTGTCATCACTGTGTTGGAGTGGGACGGTGGGGTGTCTGCGTCACAACGTGAGTGTCAAATGAAGTGATCAAAGTTGAGATGTAACTGCAGAGGACATGGAAAACAATGCTGTCACTCTGCCACGCAGAACATCTGAAAACCAACAGGCCTGCGGGTGAGAAATGATGTAGGAGGCATAGAGGCCACAGCGACTCTGGAACGGAGGTACGAGTTGAAGATTTGACAGCCAAGACTAAACCACACACAACTGTGGACCCCTGGTTTCACTTATAATATTCCACACGCAGTGACATCTGTGTTACCACTGTATTGACGGCCCAAATTGATCCAACAGGCCACCGTGAAAATACTGAAGTCAAACCAGATTTTTTTGGAGAGAAAACACAGTAGAGTCCAGGAAAGTTTGTTGCTCATATCTTAGAGGTCAGTGTGCACAGGTATGAGTTGTTTGGTGAATGAGGATAAAGGAACGTGTGTAAGTAAAGTTTGGCCCCAAAAGACGCTTAATAAACATCAATACAAAAATATTCAAATAATATTCCTCTCTCAAGTCTATCTGCCTCTCAAACATTCTCGGTTTGTGAGAGAGATGATATCCACCTCTGAGTCAGGGCTTGTTTACGTGTCTTTTTACGATTCCCCCTTGGTGAGCACCCCTACATATTTATGACCTGCCGACTCCTGATAAAAATACTAATGAGGCCTTTCTTCCACAAGGCTCAGACATCCGCCTTGCACTGCAGTCTATTCATGATGGAACAATTTCATATTGGACTGCAGATAACTATTATTTTCAAAATCAAACAGTCGGTTGATGATTTTGTCTCTTACTTGAAAATGCCCATTACAACTTCTTTGATGGTGCTGATGGAGCCAATGGTGGTGTCTGGAATTCATTGTTTGAAAACCCAAAGAGTCTCAATTGAATTACATATATGACAATGAAAAACAGATGATTCTCACATTGAGAAGCAAAGCTGAGAATACCTGGCATTTCTTCTTGAAATATAACTGAACTGATTGATTCGTTATTGACATGATTGCTGATTACTTTTTTGTTGAAGTGATAAATCAAATAACTGTCACAACTTTAATCTCTAATGAAGTATTTAGCTCCATTTTCATTTGATTCACTACACAACCGTTGGCGTTTTTATTTCACTCTGTGGGCTATTGTATGTACTGTTGATGTAGATATAGATAGATCTTATTTGTCACATTGTCCAACATAGTTTTATAGAAGCAGTGAAGCTTCTTTGAATCCTGTTACTTCAGCCTGTAATCAACATGCATGATAAACCAGCTGATGATCCGTCTGATGAATATTTGTCGTGCTTCTCCTGCAGGTGATGAAAACATACCACATGTATCACACCGAGAGCATCAGTGCAGAGAGTAAGCTGAAGGACGCTGAGAAGCAGGAGGAGAAGCAGTTCAGCAAGTCGGGAGACCTCAACGTGAACCTCCTGCGTCACGAGGACCGCCAGCCCAGACGCAGCTCTGTCAGGAAGATTGAGAAGATGAAGGAGAAGGTGAGTAGGCCTGCGATAAGAGAAATGTGGTGCTTTCATACAAGTTTGGCTTTCTACAGCTTTTAATCTACCTTTTCAAGCTGGAAGATGAGGTTAAGACTCATCATCAACTGTTTGTTCGGTTCCTTTTAGGAAAGTGAGAGGGATACTGTGGATAAACAGTAATATAATGTCAGGAGCACACTGCAGCACTCCCTGTCAGTAACCCGATTCCTCCATCTAATGCAGATTTTAGTTTTTGAAAAGTCACTGGTGGTCTCCGAGCACATTGTACTTTAAATACACCCATGCATTTTTTATTCTGGATTTCCTACTAGAGTTTTTTCATGCAAATGAAACCCGTATTATCTCTCAGGTGCAGGAAATCAAAAGGCTGTCAGGGCGACAGGCTCGTATCCTCTGAGATGCTGCTCGGCTTGGAAACTGAATATTATTTATATCACAGCATGGCAACGAATATTCTTCTTTTTCCCCGTTTCTTCCTCTAAGGCTTTGTCTCATTACTATGCCTGCAAACAGGTCGGAGGAGGAAGAGAAAGGAAAGAAAGTTAATCTCTTTTCTCTTGACATACAACACGCCACTGAAATTTACATTATAATGGCTTTGTGAAATTGGACGTAAAGTGTCTGTCTATAGTGAAATATAAAAGTACACAATTTAAATAATGGGGTAAAGTCTCGGATTTAGAATTATGATGCTTCTGTTGTATTTGAAACAGCAGTAATGGTTTTCTGAAACATGTCTTCACCACTGTGTTGTTTTACAGTTGTTTTGTCAATACAGCTAAAGAGTTTTAAAATGTCACCGGTGTTTTTTTATCTGTCTGTTAGTTAGCAGTTCAGTTTTTACCAATTTCTCAAGGAATAATTCATGGATCTAGAAAAAATCGGGCATATTTAGGGACTGAGTTCAATTTGGTGCAGTTTGATTGAATTTGAGGAAACTGTTGGGCCTTGATGGAGGTATGCTCTCCTCTGAATGCTATTAGTTAACTTATTAGTAAGAATACACAACCCACATAAACCAGCGTCTGTTTGCATGCTTCTTTCTCAGTATCCACATCCTGTGGACTCTGGTGTCCAAGTGTTGAGAGACAGGATAATAAATGCAAGCTTAACTGTGCAACTGTTCATATACTATCCACAGGAAGACTCTCCAGAGCCTGTTCCTCCAAACTTTCCACGACATCTCTACCTGTCTGTTGGTCCCAAAGCTGCAGTTGCCTGAGCTCACACTTAAATCCTCCTCATATTGCTTTATCTTCCTGTGCCGATGATGTTTTTTCCCCCCCTTCATCTACCCTGTCTCTTCTCTCCTCCCCAGAGGCAGGCCAAGTACTCAGAGAATAAGCTGAAATGCACAAAAGCCCGGAATGACTATTTGTTGAACCTGGCAGCGACAAATGCAGTTGTGGCGAAATATTACATCCATGACGTCTCTGATATGATTGATGTAAGTATGCGCAATGCACATGTGTTTATTTACACCTCTCTGCTGGGATTTCTGGTGTTGACTTAACTCTGCAGCACTGTCGCTCTTCTCACCATCTGTTCCTGTGTTTCGTTCTCTCTCAGCCTGTAAGCTGTTTGTTTTCAAGCTGCTCTGTTGGCCCCTAAATGTATTCGCCATCATTTTTATCCCAATATTAATTTATGCCTAACAAACTTAGCACAGATACACTCAATACAATCGACTGACTGTTGATGTGAAAATTAGTTTAGCGATGCTCTGTAGGTCTGTGCTGTGGTGATTTCACTAATTTGTTTTTGTTGATGTTGCTTTTGGGAGCTCCGCTGTGACAAACACAGTGTGTCCTTGTGATTTTCTGCTTCTCACTGAAGAAGCATCACCCAGGATACACACACACACGCACACATTCTCTATTGTATATTGTCTGTCCTTATGTGGTCTCTCCTTTCATGGAACAGAGTAGAGGAAGCAGCCCTTTCTAACAGTGTCTTGAGAATAAGAAGAATATTTCCTCATTTTTATGTGCTGAATTGTACGGAAATGCAACCTTGACATAACATCCTTAAATGTGGAGAAGTGTTTAAAATGATGACTTTGTTTAGCAAACCACTAATGGTTAGAAGTCGGTCAAAGTCAGCTGGTGAAGCAGAGGTTCAGTTAATTCAGGCATGAGTGTGGTTTGGCACCGAGCTCTCGGTCCCAGGCGACCTGCTCCCAGTCGCCCTGCAGACAAACACATGGAGATTAAGATGAAGAAAGCTTTGTTGACCATTTTACACAATATCAATGGAAAGCTGTCATCTGGATCTGAACATGTACACAACCAGCTCCCTCTTCTTAATTCACTCCCATTCCACATTATTAGTGTCATTTTGTTCCAGTTCCACAATTACACAGTACACACAGCTAATGAATGCTTCGGGTATCAGTACTAATGTATTTAAAAGCTGAAATGATTATTCAATTAATCCATTAGCTGATCCAAATAGACAATTGTTTTTTGTTTTTTTATCCATGGGTGTTGGACTGAACGAGTCTAATTTAGTTCAACCGTAGCTGGTATTTAAAGATGGACATTTTGTCTCCTTTTCCTCCCACTATGCGTGAGTTAAGCTTGACATATTGCATCGATGACTTTAATTAGAGCCAGAGTCTGTAGCGATACGGAGATGGCATCACAGTTTCGAGATTCATGCTTTACCAATCCCGAGTCAGTCTCAGCTATCAATTATGACATTTTCACCATTTTTTATAGCATCAAATAACTAATTAAAACAAATGTAAACACAAACATCAGTGTGATAAGAACTACCTAAAATGACAGAAACCATCTTTGAGAAAAATGGATTTGAGATTTGCGTATGTTGAAGATTTAGTTTGGTCCCATCCACTAACGCGGAGGAGGGCTCTATGACCTATGCTGTAGCCAGCCACTGAGGGGGTTTTATTTTATTTTTTAATTGATTGGTGAAGTGAAAGTCAAGGTTGGCTTAATCAATAAATATTTTTGGTTTAAGAAACTTTTTACTTTTATGGTGTATAACCTGTCAGCCCTTCAGTCTCTCCCTCCCTCTCTCTGTGCTAATGACCATAGTTGTCCCATTTTTCCTTGAAGCCAGACCACCATACAGTGCTACATTAGCCACAGTCATGTCCAGGTCAGGCATGATGAAGAGATGATTTCAGTGACATTTCTATAATATGATCATCATTCCTTTTGATTTTAAGCAGTTGCAGGTAATGCAGTGTATAAGTGCATTACTTCATATAGATTGTGGCTAAACCTGTCTCAGGCTACATGCAGTGTAGCGGTGACATGTTGGTGGTAGCTGAACATGTACCTAGACACTGATTCATGGCTATCCCTGCCTCTTTGCTTGGCAGCTGTGATTGATCCAGTGAAAAATCCATGTCATCTCAAATCCTGCTGAGCTACAGGGAATAGATCATGAGCCTGACTAGTTTGACTGTGGGCAAGAGGAAGAAAAACGATTTGACTGTCATGTCAGAGTCACAACTCACCACACTGGACGTCCATGCAGGAAGAAGTCAGCTTTGTCAGACATCATCACTGGGTTTAAACTGTTCAGGAGCTGTTCAGGATTGAATGAAATAACTTTACTCAACAACTACACTGCCTGGAAATGATGAATGTTGTATTATGTGACATTGGTGAGTGCTGTCCGCATGATAATCTTATCATGAAAGCCTGTAAATGCAACATCGCATACTGTACCTTCATGGAGGTATTGTTATTTTGCAGCTGAAAATAGTACGGCAAGAAAGAGGAATATGCATCAGTCAGCATTGGAGCATATTATACAGACTGTATGAAGAAGTAAAGTACTTAAAATTACGTAAAAAAAAGAATGCAGCTAATATAAACCTGAAGTTATGACAAATTAAGCCATAAATAATAAATGGTAAACATGTGAATATAATTATGTAAAGACAATATGTGTACTTGCACTAACTCTAATGACAAATATTAAAGTTTTAAAAGCAAAGTGGTCAGCATCATTTGGATTAATCGTGTTTTTCTTTGATTATCTGATCCTGCAGGCTGCTGCTGCTCCTGCTGCTACAGATGTGGATATGATATGATATGTCATCTAATTCAGCTTGTTTGTTTAAAAATAGGCTAATTTACTCCCTTTAGACTTTAGTCTGCTGAGCCACTTTGACTGAGCAGTGCAATCAGCCTCATGCACCAAACTAGAGAGTCTACGATGCTAAAGAGCACTAAGTAGCGTTTACTTAGTGATTCACAGAGCTGTCAGTTGCCTCAAGCCTCCCTCTAAAACCTCCTCACCACCATCCTCTGCTTAATTAGGTTACTTCATACAACTCGGTGTGATAAGGCTCTGTAATTATCCCTGGTGTCCCACTGTGCTAGCTCCTGTAATTCTCTGAACTCTACTGCTATTTTTAAAGGTAACCTGTAGCACAAGCTAATTTGGGATTTAGTCCATGAAATGGGTCTGAACATGAAAGACAGTGCTCAAACTAACAGACTCAACAACTCAAATTTGCACTTTCACACACTTTCCCATCCACTTGAGGAATTTATTTCAATTAAATCTAATTTAAACAGCAATTTAACACCAGCTGAATATCCGACCTCTTGTCATTTAACTTCCCACCTTGAGAAGCTACTGTGCTTAAGGGTGTGGTCAGGACACTGTGACATCACTATTATATTTGATTGCCACAGGGGCAGATCCAGGGGCGGGACCAAGGGGCATTTTCAAAATATATTCAAAGATGTGTGGCTTTGATCAAAGCTATCAAGCTAACAACAGTAAAAACGAAATGATTAATGTGCAACTTAATGAATCAGAAATTGTGCATGGATGTTGGATATATAATCGGCCGTTCATTGTAAATTGTGGCCCCTCTATGGCGTTTGATTGAGTAATATCTTAGATCCACCTCTAGGTTGCAGGCGCAATAGCAACATGTCTGACCACACCCAACACACCTAGCAGACGTGACTATATTTATCTGTCTTGTGTTAAATTACTCTTAACACATACAATATAGTTTACGTATTTTTATTCCATACCATTCTCACTTTAACACCAAACACCAAGTGTTTTTTCCTTGGTTTTTTATATATTTTTTTTATCTCTACAGTGCTGTGACCTTGGCTACCATGCCAGCTTGGCACGCACCTTCAGGACATATTTATCTGCCGAGTACAACTTGGAGACCTCCCGTCACGAGGGACTGGACATCATTGAGAATGCAGTGGACAACTTGGACTCTCGCAGTGACAAGCACAAGATCATGGATATGCATAACCAGGTGTTCTGTCCTCCGATGCGCTTTGAATACCTGCCACACATGGGAGATGAGGTGAGGTGCTTTTAAATGCCACAGATCTCATTACAGATTTACTTGTAGACTTTATTGCATTTCTATAATATGCTTTTCAAGTTTCACATGGATATATGTTGTTTCGTCCTCACATGTCCTCCTCCTCCTCAGGTGTGCCAGGTGAGTGCCCAGCAGCCTGTCCAGACCGAACTCCTGATGCGCTACCACCAACTGCAGTCTCGCTTAGCCACGCTTAAGATTGAGAATGAGGAGGTAAGGATTTTATGATAACTCTGTTGACTCTGTCCTGCACCACCAACCCCCTCACCTTCACCCACCTCCCAGCCCCCAAAACAAAGAGAAAGCCCTGTCTCATTTTCTCCAGAGCCAAGGGGAGGGCTACATCACCATCTGTTCTCATCGCAATTACTCTCCTATGACCTTTGCTCTGGGGGAGCGGGGAATATATTTAGATTCTCACAGCGGTGAAGTCCTGTTTTCTATGAAGTAATATATGAAATAGTCTATTTTATGATGAAGAAAAGGTTTTCTCATCAGGAGCCACAGACACAAAGGTGCAAATGAAGGTGATAATAACTGAGGGGCTGTTAGACATGTCTGTGCCAATGGCTCTGCCGTCTCCTCCCTGTCTCCCGTGTCTCATTCTCTTGGGTATAATGGACGAGCCATGCCATTAGTGGAAATGAGCTTTATCAATCTCACCCCTAAACAAAAAGCCTCATTCAGTAATTCCATGAATAGTTTTCGTCTTTGTCAGACAGTCTTCATTTTCAGCTTTTACTGTGATGTATGCCTGACCTGCGGGTTGGTCTGGACTTATGTTCTGGTGCTGTTTGGTGTCACATTACAGTCCAAGGCCATCTATTCTTTCGGGCTAAGTTTGTCTATAAAATTAATGTTAATATGCTAGGGCTGTAAATCACTCACATTTGTCCTTCAAAATGTCATCAGTCGCCTCTGAAAAAAGAAAATGTAACTCGTGAAAAATAAAGGAAAAGTGGTACGATGAGTCATTCGTCATCTTCTGTCCTTTCTTCCCTCCATCTGTGCAGGTGAGGAAGACCTTGGATGCTACCATGCAGACGCTGCAGGACATGCTGACGGTGGAGGACTTTGACGTGTCGGACGCCTTCCAACACAGCCGCTCCACTGAATCCATCAAGTCTGTGGTGTCCGAGTCCTACATGAGCAAGCTAAACGTCGCCAAGAGGAGGTCGAACCAGCAGGAGACAGAAATGTTCTACTTTTCAGTGAGATCTTTTTTTTTAGAAAAAACTGGCTGCCAGAAAAAAATCAAAGCATCAGTCATGCTCATGCTCGACATGCTCTGAAGTAGAGGCAATTGAATATATGCTGATTTGAGCAGGATTGTTTGACTGACGTGATGTTACACTGGATTACTGCTGCTCCTCACTCTCCTCAAACTGCCTTCATCCCTCTGTCTGTGTAGAAATTCAAGGAGTATCTGAATGGCAGTAACCTCATCATTAAGCTGCAGGCCAAGCACGACTTACTCAAGCAGACACTGGGTGAAGGTAAGGAGCCTTTTCTCTTCATCTGTCTCCAATAAGTCTATCGTCCTTTAATGGTGTGTGCGTGACCCGGTGTTTCATCCTGTAATCACGACCCACAGAATCCTGACATAGCTTTATAAAGTCTCTGCCTTCAGGGCCAAACAGTGGTGCAGGTCTTATCTAACAAGAAGCAGGGAATGGGGTATAGGAGGCTACAAAGACCAGCTTTTAGGACGGCAGGAAGGAAAGAGAAAATGACAGTTAATATTCAAACGGAAAACTATCGCACCAAAAACAGACCCTATCTACTTTGAGGTATCCATTCCCCCCTTTTCTCCTTATCTCTACTGGTCAAACCATTATCTTGGTAGTCTCTATATATGTTGTGGCCGCAGGGAAAATGTTTTCATTTCCAGGCTGCAAGAGGAAAGACTTCCTTCAACCCCTCCCGTCCCCAGGGGTTCCCTTGTCACCTCAGCCGTGAACAGTTTACGCCCAATCAATCAGCAGGACCAGGCCCGAGCCCATTTCTGCAGCTGCTCTTGCATCAGGGGTTCGCCTAATAGAAAAAGGGCATCAGGCGCGGACAGCTGAGGCCTCATAGCACTCATGCATATTCCCAGATTTCACACCTTGGATTAATTCATTCACTCAGATCCTATATAATACTTGGTTTTGCTTCATTGCATCTCTCAGGATATCAAAGCATCCTGGTCATTCCCTCTGAGCTGCCACTGCATGCTGAGACGCTCATAAACACTCACATTATAGTTCATATCAATCTCTGGACAGATCCGTGTGTTTCTCCACGGTGGTGCAGCTGAGAGAGTGTACTAACATGGCATATGGCGTCTCCAGGTACCGCCTGTGTTTAATTATTCAGGTGATCAATCACGGCCGAGTCATGCTCATTAGCTCACGGCTTCACACCCAAAATAGTGTGTTTGTGTTTGCGTATGTGCGTGGTCGTGTGGGGTCGTGTGTGAGCGTGACAGAGGGAACAAGATGAGACTGGCGAGTGCCACATGGCGTTTACATCTTGCGGCATGTATTAATAAAAACATAATGTCAAAGCTTTGGCACAAGACAAGATGGTGCGCGGAAATCTGCCAGCTCTTGTTTCTCAGATAAAGAGGCATCAATTCCCCTGTTCAATGAACTTGATTGGTACTCTCCACTGTCAGGGACTGTGGCACACATGAAATTAGGGGAAAGTGACAGACTTTTTCTTTGCTCATGCTTGAGGAAGTGGGTGTAATTTTGAGGTTGGTTGGTCAGAGGTAGCCGGGACTATCACTCAGAGGAACGATGTCTGGGAAACGTGCTGTTGTTTCTTCACATGAATGCACTGGAGAGACCTTGCCCCATCTGCCAGAATGATGCGTTGAGGGATGGGTTAGCCTTTGCTCTTTCTGTCCATTGTCAGGTGGAGGAAAGAAATCATGTTGGAACGCTTTAGTGCCATTGTTGCTTTTTTTGTACATTGACTCCCTTCCAGTTGATAATCCAGTTGCTGCTGGACAAAGACAGAGTCTTCCTGAAGCGCTGGGTCATGTTTCAATTGACTCCGTTTATTCTATTTTTTATATCATCATGAGCAGAAAAAATAAACTGACATTTATCTTTGTTTTAATCAAGAAGAGTTGCTGACTTAACAGAATGCGTCATCCTTAGAAATGCTCTGTGCATATGCCCATACCATGTGTGTGAGTTGTTAGAAAGCCACAACAAAAGGCTCAGTGAGCCAGCACAGACATTGCTCAGTGTCAACACTGATGGACCCCTCCCTCACCAACATACACACACTGAAGCCGCCAGCCCCTTTTCTTTGGCTCTGAGAGGAGGCCTGTTACCCCCACAGGATCCTTGAGGTCCCCTGAGGCTTCAGCCCCGACCACTCAATAGCTTTGTTCAATGAATGGTGGTAGCATAGCTCCATTCATCTCTTCCCCCAATGCCCATGTTGTCTCTCATCGAACCCCTGACTGAGGCTGGACACTGGAGTCTGTATAATGTGCACCATAAAGATGTAACATGTCGCCTGTTGTGCTTTGTTTGTTTTCCACAGGGGAAAGGGCCGAGTGTGGAACTACAAGGTAAGATAAAGCATCTGCCTATTTCATTATTCTCAGATTAATGATTAATAATTCATTCTACTCAGAGAAAAGACAAAAGCTCATTAGTTGTTTTTGGAAGACCGCCCCCAAAATGATTATTATTATTACTTGTTTGTTATATAGATATTTCATTTTGAAATATATTGCATGGCTTTTCAGTTGCTGTCACTCATGTCTAATAAATGCCATTTCTATGTTACGTATTAATAAAACTATATAATTTCATAAACAAGACACAACCTGGCAGTGCTTTGCAAATTTCCTTTTAATCATATTGATATCATGGCCCCATTGACAAAGGTTTTCAATTAATATTTAACCAACCTTTATCTGCATCTTGCTGAAACTTTCAAAATAAGTTGTGTTTGCACATTTCTGTGTGAATGTACAGTATGAGGTTGGATAAAGCATTTATAGATATTTTTGCTGTATTTTGACATGATGCATTTGGATAATCTGGGACATGTTTTTAAATTTTGAGTACTGCGACTTATTTCAATAACTGTTTTACACATTAGATCAGCAAATACCTTTCTGTAATCTGTGAGATATCATACTCAAGAGTAGACATGACACAGCTTTTAGTGTTCTTGTTGCCAAAAGAGAAAATTCTGCCTGAAATTGATCATCTGGGACAGGTTACCTTTTTTAAAGTCCCCCATATAATTTCCCTCGTATAGAGAACTTGAATGACTGTCCCAGATCCCCCAAAGCATTATGTCCCACATGATCAATCATATTTGATAAAGTGGGGACAGCTAAACATTTTTTGAAAAAAAACAACCCAACACATTTTAAACAGCTCAATGTAAATTTCTTTACAAACATAATTTGATGACAATTAGGAACAGATGACAGATTTATATCCTTAACATTAATCTTGTCAGAATCTTATGTCATTGACCTTGTCATGCAATTCCAACGGGGGGGGTTCTGATTGACATTTCCCCCGACCTTTTCAGTGATGTCAACCCCATTAAGTCATGAGATTTCAGTCACATGATGTCATTGCTAACCTAAAGTAAAAGTCCTGTAGATTTTGTTGGAACAGGAAATAAATATACTGAATGTGCCACTTTACCCAATGTCCCTGATTACCCACATTCATCATATATTTATTTATATTTATAGAATACTTAATTATATATATTTATTTTCTTTTTTTTAAGTCTAATGTAATTTTATAACAGGATTCACATGCCTAATATCATTTTTTCTATATGCTGCATGTGCTTATACTGAACAACATGAAATGGGATGGATTTCATTTGTATTTTTAATGTTCATTAATCTTTGCTTGGTTTTTAATTAGTCAAGAAGAACATTTTATTGAAGATCTTGAGTCTCCTACGCTCAAACTTGGAAATTAAAGAGACTACTGTTCTGGCTGTAGTGATAAAATACATTTTTACTGAAATATCTTACTTGGGGTTTTTCCTCCACTTTTAAATTAGGATTTGACTTTTTCCATTTCTTTTCTCAGACTGAAATTTATTTCACTGCTCTGTTTTATTGTTTTATTGAACATTTTGTTCCACAGATTAACAGAACCGTGTTTTTTGTCCATCATTTCTCAGGCCCCCCACCCTTCCCCCTAAACCACAGAAAATGCGGAAGCCTAGGCCACGCTCTGTGTATAACCATAAGCTGTTTAACGGCAATATGGAGACCTTCATCAAGGTACCCTCTGATGGTGGTGTATTAATGCCCGGGCCCCTACGGAGCAGGGGGGGGAGGCAGCCAGAGCCTTTGCTCTCGTTCTCTTCCTAATTTTGGCCTTTTGTTCCTCCCTTTTCCAGCTGCCCTTGATCATGATATAACGCCTCTGTTTAACCTCTAATCCTTCTCCTCCCTCCTCTGGTTCTGCTGGTGCTGACAGACAAAGCAGCAGTCATATGTCTCTTCACTTTCCCTTCAGAATGATTTCTAAATCCAGTCAGTTTTAAGATGACTGAGAGGCAGGAGACACCAGTGGGTTGCTTTGTCCCTCGCTGCACCCGATCCTATATTGCATCTCTGTAGCTTTTCCTGAAACCAGCCCCTGTGCTCGGTGTTCTCTAACCTCCAGAGGTGTCCTTTGTCATCTGAGCTTCTCTAACTCTGTGCCTCTCTGCCCTCTCTTCCTCTGCATCTCTGTGCTTTGCTGCTTTCTGTCCCAGAGGAAGAAGGAATGCTCGCACCCGTATTCAGGTACCTCTGTCGTTAGAGTATATAGGTCAGGAAACAAGGCAAAATAACACAGTTGAACTAATAGTAGTAATTTACTTATCACTGCTTCAGCTTCACTTGCATGCTGCTACATTTCTGTCTGTATTCTATATCAATATCCTATATAAAAGGATATTGATATTCTGTATCTGTAGCCTTAGTTTGTCAATAACAGTTGTATATATTTTAATGTTTTCTCTTGTTTATGCTCCCTGTGAGATTTGTACAGCAAAATATTGTATTTATTAGAGATATTTTTGTGGTGGAATGAAGAATTAGACAGCTTCTATCATGTGTCTTTTGGTACAACATGAGATTTGTTATTCAGACATATTCTAAAGGCAAAACTGTATGTTTCATTTCATATTGTAAAACTAGAATGACACTCAGTGGAGCACATACCTCCGCCAAGGCCCACCAGTCCCCTTAAATACAATCAGACTGTACCATATTGCATCTGCCCCATGATCCGGATCTATACCAAAATCTATGGAGTCTTCCAGACCCATGCCGCATCCTTCAACCAAGTTTCCTGGTAATCTGTCCTGTACTTTTTGCGTAACCTTGCATACAAACAAACAAACAAACAAACAAACGTACAGGGGTGAAAACAAAACCTCCTTGGCGGAGGTAATTAATCGAAGTATAAAAGTAACTCGTAGCTCTGTGCAACTCTTTTTCTACAGTTTGTTTTGTCTTCACTATTATATTTTTCCACATTATTTTATTTCAGGATTCAGGTCAACCTATCCCACTCGTTGTTGAGAGCTGTATCAGATACATCAATTTATACGGTGAGTTTCAAAATGGGAAAGCTTACTATGAACTCCCTTGGCCGCATAAGAAGTGACAGCAGCTATAGGCCGAGGTTATCTATTTCCACAAATAGCCGCTGGTATAGAGACTGACCTCTCTGCTCTGCACCTCAGTCTCTGCGGAGCCCAGCTGCCTGCCAGTGATTTGACAAGCTCATAACAATAGATCACACAGGGAGAATTTTGAAAGTCGTCTTGGTCTTTGTTTAGTCAGTTCATCCACCCCCTCTGCCCCAATAACTCCTCCCTGTCTACCTTCACATCTGTCTCCAGCTCATTGCTGTAGCCTGCAGGCTTCCCCTGGATCTGGACCTAATGAAACTCCAGAAAACTGATTAGGAGCCCTCTAACTGAAACCATATGCCACAGCCTCGCTGAGGGGCCCTCTCCTGGAAAAATACTCATCTGCCTTTATGACTAGATTACATTTCCTGCTCTGTGTTATGTGTTTCCAGTGGGCTTTCAGGAAGCTGGTGCTGGGATTCTGAGATAATGGCAGCTATAGCACAACTCTGAATCTGTAAATTCTGGGTCGTATTTCTTGCAGGCTTGCAGCAGCAGGGAATATTCCGTGTGCCGGGATCACAGGTGGAGGTCAATGATATTAAAAACTCATTTGAGAGAGGTGAGGAAAGACAGATCTCTTTGTTTTCATTGTTTTGAAGTCAGATACATATAAAAACACTTGACGCAATCAGCTGATTAAATACCATGACTGAGAGCACATCTATTTTTCTGGAATCAGGTGAAGATCCCTTGATTGACGACCAGAATGAGCACGATATTAACTCAGCAGCAGGAGTGCTGAAGCTGTACTTCAGAGGGCTGGAGAACCCGCTCTTCCCGAAGGAGCGGTTCCTCGACTTCATCTCGACCATCAGTGAGTCACGCACAACAGAAAACAGTCAAAGCAATCGATGTGAATGCACTGGTTAAAGAGAAAACACACCTTGCAATTTCTGAGAAACTTGGAAGAGGAAGACGTGCAGTGCAGCACATGGAAGCAATCTGAAACGGCCCGATATTTAACAGAAAGCCAGTAAGCAGAGGAGAGTGTAGGCCACATCAGTTTGTAATGAACGAGCATCTGCACAGAATTATTTCCCCAACTATTCTGATAGTCTGATATCTCTGCTCGATGTAGGGGTCTAATGAAAGGCAGGAAGGGGCATCTGTTAAAGTGTCAAGTGACAGTTTTCAGAGTCTAGTCAGATTTTTTCTTCAGTACCATAGCTTCAATTTGATCACTCATCCGGACAGTGTTGTTAGCCTCAGTGCACATATAGAAAATACAAAAACTAACCTCTGTCCTCTGTCCTGTGTTTTAGAGCTGGAGTCCGGAGCCGAGCGAGCGCATCACATCCAGCAGATCGTTGTGACTCTTTCTCGCACCATCATCATCGTCATGAGATATCTGTTTGCTTTTCTCAATCAGTGAGTTTGTGCTGCAGCTCTCGTCATACAAAGAACAGTAAACAAACAGGAGGTCATTATTACCACAGCTGAGGTGGATCAAGGATTTTTCTAAGTCGGGGGCCTTAAAGGGTCCAGAATTTACACAGAGGGGCCAATTATATATCCAACATCCATGCACAACTCCCGATTCAGTAAGGTGCACATTTAAGTCATTCCTTCTTCACTGTTAGCTCTATAGCTTTGAGCAAAGCCACACATCACTGAACATATGTCGAAAATTGTGAACTCAGTATTGTTAGTATGTGACTGACAGGACAGGATTTCAGCTGGGCCCCCCTGGCTCCACCCCTAGATCGGCCCCTGCACCAGAGATGTTATACACAGTTTTTTTTATTAGGGAAAATACACGATGAATATATTGAATATCAGACATAATAGCTACAGTCAGGTGGAAAGAAAAGATCCACAGCCCTTTTATTTATTGCTTTACCTGTCTATACAGTCTTAGAGCATATTCAGTCTCAGAAACTCATGCCTCACTGATATAGTATAGCTGTCTTTTCATTATGGATGCTATTGATGCTCATTTTACTGAGTTCACCTGCAGAACAACGAGTTTGATTTCATCCCCCAGATTTCACTCTCTGCTCTCCTTTACCACCCTACATTGTTAAAGCTGTTCCAGCTGTGGCTCAACTGCTCAGCCTCAGCTTGTTGATAATACACAAAGACATGTCTGTATTGTGCAGCAGCTAGTTTTCAGACGTTATAGAAGGGATATAAACATTTTAAAAACTGCAGTCAACACAGGATTGTAACCTTAGCCCTCCTAAACTGATCAAATGTCTTTGAATACACCTATAAACACGTTGTCCCGTTCCTCAGTCTCTCCCAGTACAGTGACGAGAACATGATGGATCCATACAACTTGGCGATCTGCTTTGGTCCAACCCTGATGCCCATCCCCGATGGCCAGGATCCTGTAGCGTGCCAGGCACATGTGAACGAGGTCATCAAGACCATCATCATCCACAATGAAGTCATCTTTCCCAGTCTACGTGAGCTGGACGGACCGGTGTATGAGAAGTGCATGACCGGAGGGGAGGAGTACTGGTAAGTATTGGCTCGACCAGGTGGTGAACATGAGTTATGTCAAGACTGCATTTACAACTATGACTTGTATAGAGATTAAGAATTACCTTTGACCTTTTATCAGCTAATCACCTTCCCAACCTTTTTATTAGTCATAAACCAAATTTGTCTCATTCTCTGTTTTCTATATCCAGTCACTTTTCACTTTTCTGTTCTCCTGCAGTGACAGCCCTCACAGTGAACCAGGAACTATTGACGAGGCTGATAATGGAACTGAGCCACACACCAGTGATGAAGGTCTGTAAATCTCAGGAGTCATTTTTCATCTATTTCATTTTTTTACAAAGGGTTTATAAAGATATTTGTTATATTCCACATATGTACTTCACTGATGGCAATGCTGGCTTGTGGGTTCGTCCACCTCTTTGCTCCATAAACAAAATCAAGCGATTGCCATGGAATTTGTTATTCAGAGTCTCCTTTGTCATCACCTGACTTCACCTCTAGCACCATCCTGGGGTCAAAATTTGAATTTATCAGATACTTAAGTTTCAGACCAAACACACACAAATATTCTCATTAGCGTCTAAAATGAACGTGTGTCATTATACTTTACTTGCTAAACAGGCATGGTGGTACAGTGGTTTGGGTGGTTGCCTTTTATCCAATGTCAACAGGAGTTGGGTCTGGCCCCCCTTTGAAACATTAGGCAAGATAGATAATAGATGGCTGCACCTGCTAAACATGTTAGCAATGATAGCATGGCTTCCAGGCCATTGATTTCTGATTTACTACATTAATGTCAGTAACCATGGAAACTTTGGGTCTTGTTGCCAAGATCAGAGGCCGGAGTAGAAGCTCCTACTGTGTTCTCTGTCAAATACAGACACACTCATTACAACTTTTCCTACTGAGTTTGTAAACCGAAGATCTAGTTATAAAGATGCAAATTTGAGATACACAGAAAAAAACAACCTCTCTGATAAATCCTACCGCCTCGTCGTTTGAGCGCATCAAAGTATTTCACATCCTGTTAATTAGTTTTACAGGAACACAAAACATCTTTTGAGGAAGAAAAAACCTTGATAAGAGCGTTTGACTGAGAGGTGAGCGAGGTTTGTGCTGCAACAGCGTACGATCTGAAAGGCTGAGTTGAGTGTTGGCATGCACCCCCTCTTTGATCCATCCCTCTCTCCCTCTCTCTGTCTCTCCCTTCTCTGTTCTCTTTGTTCAACATTAGTCAGCGGTTCTCCTGGGACTTTCTCTTTTGTGCAGTGTTTCCCTGTTTCTTCCCTGAGCTTTGAATAGATAACCGGGCCTGGCACAAATGCTAAAAACACGGGTAAGACATAGAATAATATTGCCCGTGCCACCAGTGAAGAGTTAACAGACGGGACAATGAAGTGAGGAGTATGTTGGGTCAGACTGGGGTAAACCTATCTCACAGCTTCATCTGTGCTGTCGGCTGTGTCTGTAATGAGCCTGACCCTCTTTGCTTGGCCTTACTTGGAAAAAGAGAACAAAGGCTGATTGCCTGCTGTAGGTTCTGCTCTTTCTGGCCTTACTTCTGAGAGTCTGATGTGACATTATAAACTCTGGTGTTGTACTTTCTGAAGTCGGTTCACTCCGTATCCTCTGGCCATATTTCAGCTTTCATGGAAGAATAACAAGTTCATGTTGTTAAATTACGAGAGAATCAGCCAAAGCTCTGATGACGGTAACATTTTCTTTTTCATTACTTTATAATTGAAACCAAAGTTGAGCTTTTCAACCTTCTTTTCTCAAACAATAACAGTAACACCCTCGTTCCCCTCTGCTGTGGTTTCAAAACAATGTTGACAGGGTTTCTCTTTGAATGGGAGTTATTCTTACTGAGAGCTACTTGACTCCTGCTCATTTTAAATACTCTAGCGTCAACTGCCTTTTGTATTTCAGGAGAAAACTGCTTCATTAATCAGAATCTTATTTTATTCTAAATTAATTAGTCTTTATAGATAATAACCACTATAATTGTAATCATCAGGATCATCATTATTTCAAAATGTTTGCTCCAGAGTGAAGGTTTTGGCTTTAAACTCTTCTTGATGAGCAGAGAATGGCAAACACTTGATAAACAACAACACATTTTACAAGTCTGAGGTAGATCAGTTGTGCGTTGTTGTATTGCTATTGATGAAAATGTTTGATATAATTATTGATATTGTTTTACTGCCCAGTCCTGATTAAAAGCGAGTGATTTGTGACACAAGTCTTTATTTCAGCTTCGTACTGAGGGATTTACACAGATGTTTAACCTTTTGAACATGACATAATGTCTGAGATCACAGTAATTAAATTCTAATGCTCTCCTAAGCTTTCACTGTTGTCTGTTTTATTACTCTGTACTTTATTATAACCTACAATAAGACCAGAGCCATGTTGTAGCTTGTAAATCTTTTAACTGATTTTTTTTTCTATCTCTGTCTTTTAGAGGTTGAACAGATTGAAGCCATTGCTAAGTTTGACTATGTGGGCCGCAGTCCCAGGGAGCTTTCCTTCAAGAAGGGAGCCTCTCTGCTTCTCTATCACAGAGCCTCTGAAGACTGGTGGGAGGGTCGTCATAATGGTGTCGATGGTCTCATCCCACATCAGTACATTGTCGTACAAGACCTGTGAGTAACAGCACAATGACGTTCAGTAGGTGTTATTGTTGTTTATGGGTTTTGGGATCCTAATCCAATCTCCTTTAAGTGATTAGTAACTTAACTCAAGTGAATTAACTCGTATTACACGTTCTGTGCTACAGCTCTAATAAGTCTCAGTATTACATCACAGAATTGAAAGAATACATTGTAGTTGTACATGTGTGTCATGTGTTCACTGTCTGCATCCCTTTCCTTTCAGTGATGATGCTTTCTCAGATAACCTCAGCCAGAAAGCAGATAGTGAAGCGAGCAGTGGACCATTACTGGATGATAAGGGCTCATCTAAAAATGACGTCCCATCACCATGTGAACAATCACCTGATTACAACTTCGGAGGAGTCATGGGGAGGTAGATGCCATTTAAGAGCTAGGAATAGCATTCAGAAGAATTCACCCATTCACCATATGAAACCACATGTAAATTCACTAGATGCTGATTTTTATTTGGAAATGCACCAAATTGCACACACTGATGTATATCAGAAAGTTAAAAAATCCTGCATCTGCCCCCTGATCCATTTTGCACTAAAATGTAATGTAATAATTTCCCTGACCCATGTCTCATCCTTCCACCAAATTTCATGGAAATCTTTCTAGTTGTTTTTGCATAATCTTGGTTAAAAATGAAGAAATGAAATCAGGGTTTTTTTAAGTTTTTACCATGGTTGTTATTTCCTGTTTGACAAGGAAATTGTGTCTTTACATAGGGTAAGGTTAAGGTCTGATGGAGCTGCAATCCCGCGGCACCGGAGCGGTACAGAAACCCACAGTCCGACTAGAGTGACTGACACTCCACCTCGAGCTGCAGCCTGTCCCAGCAGCCCCCACAAGGTGTCTATAAGCAAGGGTCGTATGGAGAGCCCAGAAAAGAGGCGCCTCGGTACCTTTGGCAGCGCGGGCAGCATCAACTTCCCGGACAGGAAGGCTTATCCTGAGGGCCACCCGCTGAGACCAGTGCCAGGAGCCACTCGTCACAGCAGCCTCGGGGACCACAAATCGCTGGAGACCGAGGCTCTTGCTGAGGTAAGAGTTTGCCCATATTTTTCATCTTTCAAATTCACTGGATTGTTCTACTTCATACCATAAAGATGCACAGATGTGGCATCCAGTTGTGTCCTGAAGTAAACATATGAATATAAATATAAATCATTCTATAATAATACATTTTGTGATTACGTCTGGGATTTTTTTGGTTTAAGGTAAAATAGATGAACTGTGATATCAAGGAAAATAATTTGTCTCTTTTGGAAGTATTTGTTAATATATTGGTTGAGACATTGCCAGTCGCTATATAAAGTTTCATCCACTTAAACCATATATGCAGATTGCGTAGGTTTCTGAGAACAGAGCGGGGCCCCCTGCTGTAGCTGTCAGTCTAAGAACAGCAGCTGGGACCTGCAGTTAATGTCAGGGCCAGACTGCAGCTGAGCAATAGACACACCTCAAGGACATGGAGGCCTGGAGCTACATAACAACGCCTCATCAGCGATTGACTGCCTCCATTAGTTCCAAACACAAACAAACAAAATGTTCAGTTCACTCTTTAACTTGACCTTTAAAGTAACATATTTAAACGCTCACATGCCTATTCATGTTATTGTAATATTCTCATCTCCATGTCTCTTTAAGGACATAGAGAAGACTATGACCACAGCGCTCCATGAACTACGTGAGCTGGAGCGTCAGAACACAGTGAAACAAGCTCCTGACGTGGTCTTGGACACACTGGAGCCCATGAAGAACCCGGTCAGCTCTGAGCCCGGCAGTCCGCTGCACACCATCATGATCCGTGATCCGGATGCGGCCATGCGGCGCAGCACCAGCTCCACCTCTGAGATGATGACCACCTTCAAACCGGCCCTGTCCGCCCGTCTGGCCGGGGCTCAGCTCCGCCCGCCGCCCATGAGACCGGTGCGCCCTCCTCCAACTCAGCACCGCTCCAGCAGCTCCAGCTCTTCGGGAGTCGGCAGCCCCGCCGTAACTCCCACTGAGAAAATGTTTCCAAGTAACAATACAGCTGCCGGTTCTAACATGAACACGTCCGGTGACGCTGGGGATAAATCAGGTACCATGTAGCAAAGGTGGAATCCGGTGGGAAGGTTGTAAAGCTTTCCAATTAAGGGAGCTCATGGAAGTCAGAGCTGATATGTGAAAAGAAGATAAATATATTTTCCTCTCAGTTTTCCACCTGACTTAATTCATTTATTCAGGAAGCTTCTGAGGCAAGCCTGCAAGATGTTACCATGGTGACAAACGGTTGAAGAAACTACAGAGGTGTGATAGCGTGAGGCTCAGCTCTCTCTGAGACTTGATTTAACTAAAGTAAATGTGTATAAGAAATCGTGTGTTTCAGTTTTACCTCAATCTCAACAAAAGTCTGTGGCCGTGTTCTCGTTTCAGAGATACATTGAATGCAAGTGAAGCAATACTTGTGTAAAATTTGGTATCAGTTTCTACTCAGCACACGCTGTCCAGCTGATGTTTGTGTCCACATTCAGGCTAAAACATCATGTTTATTTATCACTGAGGTCTATAGGCCTTTTGTCTGTATATACAAACTTACTTGAATCTGCCATGATTTCTGTTTGTACTATACTTCAGTGGATGTGCAGCAAAGTAACAACATAGTGACATTATATACGTCTGCATGCAGGGTTTAAAGAAAATAAGGGAAACTCAAGGAGCCGTGCTTCACTGAGAGGAGAATTCTTCTATGTGGCCTAACTCTGGGGTTGGCGACCTGTCAACCGTATGCCCCGCCTCTTGCTTAATGTCAGCTCCAGTCCCCCACAACCCTTAAAGACTAAGCAGTATAGATCATAGATGGATGGAACCTTATTCTTAACTGTTAAAAAAATACCAGATGTTCAAATGCATGGCAAAGTAAAGTCCCCTCTTCCCCTGGTCAAAACCCACTAACACCTGCTAATATCTGGTTTTATCTGCAATGGGAATGGTTACAGTCGGAATTCACTTCAGGGTCAAATGACTCTGCAGTAGACATGTTTTTATCAGCTTCAATCTCCACCGATGGAAATGAAAAATGCGGTTGAACGCGGTAATTCGGCAAGACTGTGATGAGAGAGAGGTTCTCAGTCGAACATGACGCACCAGGGGAAAAAAAAGAGAAAGGGAAGCTCCTGCACTGGCAATGAGAGAGGAGTCAATCACCTTTTCTAGTGGGTTTAACTTTGTTTAAAAAAACCTTCATATACGATGATGATTGATGATGATTTTGGTGTCAGGGAGGTCTAATACATCAGGGCCTCACAGCTTTTTTTTAAAATAGTCATCCAGTTCATTGCTACAGATAAAAGCATCTCAATTATCGGACATTACTAATCTGAATCTTCACAAAGTAAATTGTGACCTGACGCTGCTGTTTCCATGTTTTCATCCTGTTTATGAAATACAGAAAACTAATGCATCAACCAATGTAGGATTTCCTGTGGTAAACTTGTACATAATATAGAGCTAGTAATTTTGTAAGTGTTAAACTGTACAGGCCTAGACAAAAGAAGGGCAAAGGGTTGATATAATGGCACTTGTAAAAAAAACAAAAAAAAAACATGATTCACCTTTTTATCATCCCCAGTAAACTACAGACACATTCTTTGGCTGTGTAAAATATAGTTCAAATCATCTACCTTGTGCTGTGGGTGTAGAGTGCGTTTGGTAATTGTACTGTAGAGAAACTTGATAGCTGTTGAACTGACCACAATGGCTGAATAAATGTCCCCTCCGTTTTCACACAGTGGATCAAATTAGCTCTGTTTCCTTCAGGGAACTGATTTGGGTGATTTTGTTGTTGCATAAGAGTCTTTACAGTAAACCACCCTCTTTCAAACTGAAGATGCAGCGCTCATGCCAGAGGGACGTGATGTTGTGACGTTCTCTTATCGAAACCCTCTTTCCTGCCTTCTCCTTATCTCCCTTGATAGATGCAGTTACGCTCTGACTGTCGTCTTGTTGGAGGAAAACTAAACAAGAGCATTTCGGTGCTGGTATCCACTGCACCTCTCGTCAGCCTGACAGCTCCAGTCCAGAGACCTTGTTATCTGCATCCCAGGCAGCCTGCTCTGTTGTGCATGCCCTGCGCTGTAATGCCGGACTTATTATGCTGCAGTTAAAACAATGGCTGTATGTGGTGCCTTGCCTTGGTAAAAAAAGAAAGAAAGAAAAGAAATGATACACAAAATAATTTTAGTATTGGACTTTTTTTTAAAGCAACAGGCCTTAACATTTATCAGGGCTGGAAATTATTAATCAAGCCGCTTGTAGCAGTTGCTGAAGTAGATATGAAAGAGAACTAACCACGCTTGACTGAGCAAAAGGAATCTTAGATATTAGCATGTAAACCAGGCACCAGTCGTTCACTACGTGCTGCAGTGTTGCTGAGGCACAGGCTGCAAACCGAAAATATTTGCTTGTGTTGGATGTATTATTTGCTTTTATGTGCCACGGGCAGAAATATCCAGGTTGGGAGGATTCTTGATAACAGAGAGAGAAAAGGGCAATACAGCCTTTAAAGTCACACATAGCGCAGCCACGCCCTCTGCTGGTTCCTGCTGGTTTTGCTTCTCTTGATGAAGCAGTGTGATCTGGAGCCGATATTACAATCAACTGGTTCAATCACGTAGCTCATCTTTTTCTGTCCTGGTCGCAGTTTTTGCACCTCTTGAAATCTCTGAATATAAAAAAATCTAGGTTTATTTAAATATGAAGAAAGCACACGATTTCATGAATGAAATTGACATCATTGTATTTAACTAGACTGTTTCTTTTTTATTTATAGAGGAGTGGAGGAAGTGGAGCAGGGAATTTGAGTGCCTTTTGTGCACAGCATCAGTTTTTATTGGACTTTTATATTTACTTTTTTTAACTGTAATATGTCATTTGTTAGTTTGTCATGTTGATTATGAACTGATGTTGCTTTTTTTTTTTTAAATCTTTGCTTTGTATAGCTACTAACTTGTCGATCCCCCTTAAGGAGTGCGTTGTGTAAAGATATTTGTCTTGTGGGTTTTACACAGCAGCAGTTTTCATGAACTGCTCGTGTGTGTTTGGGTGAACCCCTGGAGAGCTGTATAAACTACTGTACACTCACATCTACTGGTAATGTTCAGTAGAATCATCTCAGAATCCTTTTTTGTTTTCCCTGTGAACTGCCTGTGCTGTGGTTGAGCCGTAACTCTTTGTCATTTATCCCCTTCCCTTCTAACGAATATCATTGCCGTATATATTGATGGCAACAGCAGGACTGATGTGGAACCTCGATGTGTGTGGAGGATATAAAGCACTTGGTGCGCTCATGGTTTCCCCTACATGTGACGTTACACAGACCTTTTTCTTTCCTGGAATGTATGCTGGGTAACACTGTTGGTCACATGGGAAGACTTCAGGTTGATTTAAAAAAAAAAATAAAGAAAAGATGTTTGCAGAGAGAGAGGAGGCCTGTCATGACGTGGGGGTCAGAGTGACCCACTGTCCCACAGTTTACCTTCTCTTTACCTGTTTGTCTAGTGATTCTGTTTGTTGATGAGTGTCTGGTTGGTTGAAACCCTGTGATGTAATGTACACCATACCACTGACTGGATGTTGATCTCCCCCTGCGTCCAAATAAAAACATTATTGCTCTGTGACCTGGAAATTATGAGTGATTCATTTCTTCAAAATGCTGAAATTTAGTCAAGATTTCAGCCTTTACATCTGCTCAAGTATTGTACAAATTTGAGGGATTTCACTGAGTGAAATGTACTTTTTACTAATTATTTGTCAGAGAGCTATTACCTGTTACTCTGCAGGTCAATAGTTTACATACAAAACACACATACGTCATCGTATAAAATATGTCAAAATACCCAATGACAAAACAAGCTGACTAACAATAAACCAACATCACAACATATCTACAATATATGGGCCATTTGTCTGCATAACAAGGTGTTTCACTTTTGGATATATATAATATTTTTATAAATGAGTATTTTTACACAGCTGTAAATTTCTATATAAACTCCACTGGTTTCCAATAGTAACAGTGGAATCAAAGTACATTTTATTTTCCCTGCAGACATAATGGGGCAAAGCAATTTGTCTCAAATTGCTTTGCCCCATTATGTCTGCAGGGAAAATAAAATGTACTTTGATGGCAATGTGTGGCAATTTTAAAAAACAATTCAAAAGTAATTTACAACCGACTTAATAAGGCATCAACAAAAATACAAGAGACACAAGTCAATATAAAAAGACAATGTTCAAGTGTAAAATAAACTATAAAAGCAGATTTAAACTAAAAGAAGAATTTGAATTGATAAAAGCTGAGCACAGAAATAAGTACAGGACAAGATATGAATGCTTAACAAATATAATCTCTTGACTTTGATTCAAAAGGACAAGATACTAATGAAGGACAAAATCATGAGGGGAAATTGAGCTGAAATATTTGGCAGCAGTGAGACAGAGAGTGTTGTTCATCCTGTGGCCACATGATGGAGAAACAGCAGCAGAGATATGTATGTGATGAACATGAGCTTCACATGTTGAACATGATGTGGTGCAGCCGTGGCCACACAGGGGACACACATCTTCGTGAATCACATAATTACATCTCACTTTGAAATGAGCGTTTTAATCCGTCGGTCAGAGAGTAACAGCCGCAGCAGCTCACGCTGATGGAGCATAAACAAAATTCAATTCATTCCACCTGAGGAGCTTCAGTTCAACAAGAACATTCCAAACAAGCAACTATGAGACAGGAAAACACACCGGTTACTGACAAATAATTATCTACAAGTCATTCTAAAGTGTTGATAGGCTGATAGCTCTGTCCCATCAAATTAAAATTAACTCTGGATCAGACAATGTGGCTTCATGATGTCTAAAATAATCCAGGAACAATTTACAGGAAAATGGTCATAACATTATATTGAATGGAGCGCAACATTTGTGCAGAATATTTAACCTATATCCAGATACTTCGCAGGTATAGAGATAAGCTTCAGTGAGACAGAATAACTGACAGCTTTATTGTTGTTACAGAAATATAACTCTCACTGGAAGAGGGGATGAAAATACAGAGAATCAAATCAGAACATATTAGCTTTGTATAGCCCATATTCACAAATCATAATCTGCCTCTTTGGGCTAAATTATCTGTAGTAGGTGTGACACCCTCTGTCCTCCACCCTCCAGGGTGAGCAACAAATACAGAGAATATACAGAAACCTCAGGATGAGTCATAAGTGAGGGACGGACATGAGAGCAATACATGTGAGGGAGAGGGACAAATTTTCTATGGGGGGGGGGGCTTGCCAGGGAGACATTTGTTTAGTACTTTACTGTCTCATATTCAACCTTTTTAAAAAATAGAATAGAAAACACAAAAAAACCCTCTATTATTGATTGTTTCGTTGTGTTATTGTTGTAATGTATGCGTATGAATATTGTCATTGCTTTATCAGTTCTCTGTTGCTCCTCTGAGAAACTTAGATGCGGAACTGAACTGGTCAGTATGTGTTAGTATCTTTCCCCAGAAACAACTGAGCACGAGGCCACAATTCCCAAGAATAAAAACTTAGTCATGAAAAAGTGATTTTCATACAGAGATTAATTTGGAAATGATTGTATATTGTGAGTTCAAATTACTTGGAAAGAAGAAGAAAAACAGAATGAGTTGGCAACCAACAGAAAAAATCTACAGTTACTTCCGCTGGCATGAAGATTGTTTTATGCCTCTCCAGAATATTTCATCAATAAAGAACAGATGCTACAGCTGGTTTGACAAAAGATTGCATAAGATCTCTCCAGTGGCCTACTTTGGGTTATTCACCATTACAATTAACACACAAATGAGAACAAACGCTTCAATAATGAATCATTTCTTTGTGAAAGTCACGGCAAATAAAATTATCATAACTTCCTGCGTCAACCTTCAACCAGTCTTTGATTCAAATCACACAAGCACCAGTGAGGAGTCGTACATCATTAATTTTCATAATTACAATAAAATAATGCAAACAAATGGAAGTCATGTTTCATTTATTTCAGTGTCCCCATATAAGGCACAACAATCAGGCTGTGCAGTTTCCAGTAATGAGAGAGAACACTTATACATTTTAACCTGTAGCTGAAGCTAAAACACAGTGTGATGGCAGAATAATTACAATATATCATCCTTTTGATCAGTTAAGTCAAAAACAGGGTCCACATGCAGCAGCACATTTTAATTTAAATAACCTCAAATAAAATGTAGTTTTCTAACCAGCAAACATACCAACAAAATAATCAACACACAAAAATATAAAAGCAGAGCCGAGACAATTAGTTGTTCCTCGCTCTAATGATGTGGGAGCTTGACCAAAGTTAGAAGAAATAATTTCATGACATTGTTGTGTTGTTGTGTAGGTTTGCATTATCAAGCTATTGCCTCAGAACAAAGATACTCGGATATCCCAAGAAATGATTCCATCTCTGTTGTTCACATTTGTCACCTTTGTCATCCTTACAATGAATTTACTGCAACATGGCTTCACTTGAAGATTTTCTTTCTTTCTTCATTGAGCCCAAACACTTATCCCTAAAGCCTCACAGGAAGGTAGGGGATTGATGCCTTGCTCAAGGATACTTTTGCAAGACAGAAAGACTTTGGAAGGACTGAACCGGAGGCTTTCCGGTTCCGAGAAAACCCAGACCAGATCAATTTGTTGCCGCCGGGAAAGAAGCAAGAGACTTTTCTATTAGAAGATGAAAACATGAGATGAGAAACCTGTCTTTCATTTTTCACACTTTGCCTGTCTCACTGTGTCAGATGACAATCAGAGCGCAGCAGAGTTCTCTAAGATACTTAATGCTTTATGCTGGAGGGCGATCAATAATTTTACTTTGCTGCATTTTCATTAAAGTTTCTGACCTTACAGCCAGATCAGAATATTTTATCAGAAGCTGTATATTTGTGAAACATGAGGCATTTACAAAGTTTACAAAGTGCTTTGACAACAAGCAAGAAAAGTAAATAAATAAAAACATGTAAAAGCAGTAAAATGAAAAGAAAACCATCAAATCAAAGTGAAAGCACAATATCACATGAAAACAAGTCTATAAAATGGGTTTTTACAAGTGATTTAAAAGAAGTCAGTGACTCTGCGAGCCTTATCTCCTCTAGGAGGTTGTTCCAAAGCTGAGGGGCCCTGATGGTAAAAGCAGGATCACCTTTAGTTTTCAACCATGACTTTGAAGGAGCAAACAGGGCTCCTCCTGAAGGCTGCATGCAGGCACATAATATATAGGCATACGTAGTGATGTGTGTTATTAGGCACGAATGGAATGAGCCCTGAACAATCGTCACTTTCAAGGTCACAGCAAATGGTAACACCTCCAGAGACATTTACAGCCGTGCTTGTATCTTTGGGTGTAAATTAAAGGCAAAGACAGAGTAGGTCAGAATGGTTATTCACAGTGTTCCTGCAAATGATCACACAGGAAACCATATGTGAACACACAAAATCAATGCACATAACTCTACACACAGATTGCACATTAAAGCTCTGAGGTCTTACTGTTGAATTAATGATGTTTTGCAATGGCATATGTGGCTTTGCTCCGAGAGCAGGAGAGAAGTGATGTTGCTGATGGTGAGGCCCGGGGCCGGCAGCAGAGCTGACCCTGCGTCACCAGCATCGGTGCAGCGGTGATTTTATGTGTTTATTTGTGTGTTGTTTATTTCTTATGAAATGACTTACTGATTTGTTAGTCAAGGCAGACCATTAGAATGATCTCAGTGATTTATTAATATGATAACCCATTAAATGTTAATGATAGACAGCAGTTTATCATTTCATCAGTACTGTCTTCATATTGTTACATTTATCTATCCATCCATTCATCCATTTATCTATCGATTCATTCATCCATCCATCCAAGCTTA